ACTCTTCAGCTAAACAACAACACAGGGCGTGACATACACGGAGTGTTTTCTGTGATGCCACAAAACACAGGGCCTGACACAGTGTGCTTTCTCTGATGCCCTTTCTGCCTTACAGCATTTCTGCGATCTGTTCAGCTTAACAAAAACCACAGGGCGTGACATACACGGAGTGTTTTTGTTAATGCCGTTTCTGCCTAACAGCATGTCTGCGAGCTTTTCAAATTAACACAACACTAGGTGTGACATGCACAGAGTATGCTCCGTGATGACCTTTCTGCCTAACAGCATGTGTGCGACCTTTTCAGCTTAACAAAACACAGGGCGTGAGACATGCAAGGAGTGATTGTTGTTGCCTTTTCTGCCTAACAGCATGTCTGCGATGATTTCAGCTTTACAAAACACAGGGCGTGACGTACACGGAGTGTTTTTTGTTAATCAATGCCCCTCAAAGCACAAGCCAAGAGATGTCGCTCCGAGCCGCTTCGTGAGGCAATCGAGGAGCTGTGCTTGCTGGCTCTGCCTTGCCTGGCGCTCCTGGCAAGCAGAAGAGCTTTTACAGTAGGGCGCTCTCTCGCGGTCGTGCGCGCGCGTGCACTGTCAGCTGCACACGAATCGTGGCATCGTCCCCTCAAGTATACAGCTGCCTTTGCAAGCAGCGCCTCCATGGCAGGCCCGAGCTCCTGGCGAACACCTACGGTTGGGGTTAGTGCTTATCGAGGTCTAGGTCTAGGGACAGTCGGCCTGGCAAGGGCACGATACAACCGCAACCTGACATGGATGAACGCCTGGACCATGACAACCTCAGCGTTGCGGTGCTACTGCAAAGTTAAGCCCGCCGCCAGAGTCCTTGAGGGTCTCCAGTTTGAGCGACGCGATTTGGTAGTCCATGTCCGTTTTCTGTCCTGCTTGAACCGACACAAAAGGAAAGAATGGGTTTTTCAACTTTAGGGTTCGGGTCTAGGGCTTCTTTGCCGCCTAGCAGACTAGCCACACTCCAAAGCAGCAATGATGGCGAAGCAGTCGAACTTGCAGGACCACCAGGCCCTTCATGCCACAGCAGGCAAGGAACAACAAACGACCAAATCACATTGGGTTCAGGTTTTCTAGGGTCACAGGTCTGGGGGTTGGGTTTAGCTTCCCGGTGGCTCTGGGACCTTCTGGCCCCGGAAGTGAGCTCGCGAACACTCGTCCGTCAAGCAGTCCTCGCAGGGAGGCTTCGACGACATCCAGCCTTGGTGTCCCCTTCTCTGTTTCTTGAGGGTTCCGGCCTGGGCATCTGGAAGATTTTGGCTCTTGTTTTGCTTTTTTCGGGGGCTTCGCAGGGATGACTTCATGGGTTAGCAAATGCTAGCAACCCTCGCCCCACCTGAAAGCCTAAACTGCCGTAAACCCCTACACACCCTCAGCCCCGAGCCTCGGCTGAACTGAAGCCGGGAGGCTTGGCAGCAACCGCGGACACGCAGCTCTGGGACGCAGCCACCGCCTTCTTCAGGCGCTGCTCGGCCTCGTCTGCTAGGGATGCTTAAGCTGCTTAGGCCTGCTTAGGGACTTTAGGCTGTCTTTGTATCCTTCTGCTTACGCAGCTGACAGAAAATGGCAGGGCTTAGGGTGCGGGATGGAACGTTTCTGCACGACTTTTTTTGTTCCTCCAGTTCAATTAGGGTTTACAGCCCCCATTAAGGTTGTACATCTAAATTTGAAGGAGAGGGTTTAGGGCTTAGGGCTTAAGTATAGGGCTTGTTTTCTTTATGATTCCTTTTTTTGTTGATACTTTTTACTTTTTCTGACCCCCCTTCCAACCCTACTGGCCCTAAGTCGAGCCTGCTGCAGCTCGAAACTCAGTGCTTCCTCAGCTGAGGGGGCATGCGCGTGACATCAGGGTTTTGCGTTTTTGCGTGGGGGGACTTATCGCTCTTCACTCAATATGCCACAGGTGTCAGGCAAGAACCGAACTCACAGGCAGCAAGCATCCTCGAATGCCAAGACCAACCATCGACCAGGACAATTTTGGCTCGTTGGCTAGTATGGAGCATAGGGCTTTAAGGGCAGGGACCAGCTTAAGTTGGGGCATACTTGGATCAGAGAAGGATTTTGGCTCGGGGTGGGAAATGCCAGAACTGCCATAATAAACTCCGAGCCGTAAGAAGCATTGGCACACAGCAAGCAAAGCTAGCCGCGCCAGTAACCCTCAAACCGCTATTTCTGAACCCTCTTAAGGGCCCGAGAGTCCTGAACCGAAGCCCCTGTAAGCCTCAACAAACAAGAGGCGAGGTGCCAAGGCCTTGTGCTGCAGAAGGAACCGACGGTCAGACTGCTCCCCCAGAGCCTGCTCCTTGCGCGCCGCAAGGCATTTGGGAACTAATGTTGGGTTGCGGAGCCCAGTTTCCAGCCCCCAAAACCTTTCCTAAAAACATCCTCCCGTCTCTAGGTTTGACCTACTTGCAGCCAAGGATCCATTTTGCGCATGTCTGCCTGCAATGCGCCAGCTCACGCTTCTGTCGAACAAGGAAAGTGTTCCTCTCGCCGCGGTGGAACGTTGGTAAATTAACAAACCGTTGGGTTTTGGCATCAAGTTGCTGTCTGCACGCTGCTTTTCACAGAAGTTCACTCCGTCCAGAGTAGCTCGCAAAGAAATTTGTGTAATCGATGAATTTGGGCGACAAGCTCACCAGAAATACCAACGTGTCGGCCTGCACGTTTTTAAAAAAGGCTACACATCACTACTGGAGATGAGGCATTGTGGTCTCACCGCCCCGAAAAAACGAACAATAGCATCCCAGAGTCCCAGAGAGCCGAAAAAGCTGTGAATACCGAGGAGTTTAATTGAAAAGAAATACCGAGGATTCTGCTGCCCGCCCGGCTCGAGCGAAAAAGAAGGCAGAAAACGCTTCTTGGCGTGGTCGAACAAATCGAAAAAAACAACGCTTGAAAACATGCAAAACAGAACGTTCTTCGTCAGAGACCTTTAACGAATCGAGAAATTGACAGTTCTTGCCGACATCCTAAGCACGAGTGATCAGGCCAAACAGCAAAAACAGTGCAAATACCGACGAAAAGATGGGCGTAACCAAACCGCCTCTCCCTCTTCTCCCCCTGCGCGGCCAAAGGAACACCGCTCCAACAGCTTATCGCCTGGCCTGAAACCTGCACCAGTGCTCACGACTGCCGACGATTCTCCGAGAATGTCTCTCCGGCTCGCAAGCCTTGATCTCATCCGCAAACTGGCTTCGATCGGCCTCATTGCTGATCCTTGGCAGACCACTGACAACCACTTTTGACCCCGAGCCCGGGACTGCAGCCAACCCGTTTACACACATCGCCCGATGCCCGACGGCCCAATGAGAATCTCAAAATCTTCCTTTCAGCCGCCTTTCAGTCGAACATCTCCGAGACGGCACGTTGCACACACCCCGGAACAAAAAGAACATCCAACAAGGGCCCCCGCCTTCCCAGGCCCACCTCACTTCCACGCTCCAAGAGCCCCCACATATCCCCACGTCTTCTGTAAGAACACCGCAAGCACAGCCGAAGGACGGTGTTCGGACGTCCCCAAAGCAGCGCAGGCCTTAGCCCAGAAAATGTGGATCTGAAGGTGTTGAGGGCTTTCCAGTGGCTTTTCTGGAGCTAATGGCTGTCCCGATATGAATGGCAACAACTTAAAGATTTGAAACCTGCCCTCCTACGGTCTCAGGTCAGCCCGGAGTCCCTGGAGATAGCCACAGTACGAAACGGGAAAAACGAGCAGATACTCAAATTCACCTCCGATGCCAAGAGGCTCTTATCGTTGGCCTCTCGAGCCTGCCGCAAGGGCGATTTGGGCTGTTGCTTCTTCTTTGTCTCATAGGCTTGGGGTTTAAGGCTTGGGGCTTCAGTTCATTCGCGCAGGGCGAGCAAGGTAACTACCGCGTGATTAGGAGTGGAGGCCCGGCTGCCGCGGGTTTCAGCTGCCTGCTACTAGCTCACGCCTCCAAGCGATCGACGCGGCCCACGAGGTCGGCTACAGTTTTCGCCATGGTGCCTTCAGCAAGTTCTGCGTCTAGCAGAACGTTGTGCGTGAAAGCTGCCTCCCGTGAAGGAAACAATGTATTCCGCGGATAGCAAAATCTGGGATCCACGCCAAGCTCAGTGCTGAGCCCAGTGACGATGGGCTCCGTGTCCTGAAAAGGCCTCAGCCACCAGCAGCGAAGGCATGGGCATGGAACTGGGCATGGGTTTCGTCGGCCTCTCGCGCAAACACGCATGATGAACATTGATTTGGCGGCACATCTAGGCACCTTTGGTTGATCGGGCCGGGAAAAGGATGGTTGGGACAAGCGAGTCATGGGCTGCGAGACTGCCTTGCAGCATCTTGGGCTAAGCACTCCGATTGGCAGCTTTGGGGGGGGGGGGTCAGCGCATCAGTTGCGGCAGCTTGATCAGCGTCTGGCCGTCAGACTCTCAGGCGAATGGTGATTCTGCACGTGGAGACAAAGACGAGAGACCGCGACCGAGACCGAGACAGAGAGAGCGAGTGAGTGAGTGAGTGAGTGAGTGAGTGAGTGAGTGAGTGAGTGAGTGAGAGAGTGAGAGGGATCGAGAGGGAGGGAGGGAGACAGAGAGAAAGACAGAGAGAGGGAGAGAGGGAGAGAGAGAGAGAGGGAGAGAGAGATGGAGCGCGAAGGGAGAGTGAGAGAGAAGGAGGGAGAGAGGAAGGATCCAAGAGGGGGAAAGGAACGGCATCCTAGACCTCTGCGCGTCGGTTCGTATGTCAGTTTGCCTCGTTATCTTTGACAAGATGCGGAGAAGCAAAATGGGCATGCCGGTTTTGGCGGAGTTGCCTGCTTTAGCACTTGCAAGCTTTGCCATCGAGTTGGACTGCGAATGGTCGGCTGCAGCGATTCGCTAGCGACGACGGGGTTCCCCGTCAATGCAGCGTTCAGCCGGAAAACTGCAGCCTGCCGTGCCCCCAAGGAAGGCACGTGCGGAAGAGATGCTCTATCGAGCATCCGCACAAACTCGGGCTAGTCCCAAGATAAGGCTAAGACTAAGAGAAAATTCAGAGCGTGGAGAATCATGCGCGCGGACTCGGAACTTATTGTTCTGGTCGCGGCAGAAGTGCCCTCTGGGTTCACACTCGTACTAGAAATGGTCGACTCCGTTGCCGGAGAGGTGGAGGCATGTGGGTAGAGCTCGGAGACTTCCCACGTCTGGCCGTCCACGTAAGGCCAGCAGGTGCTGTCGAAAAAGACCCTTCGTGCTCCGAGCAAGGCTGTGCCTTGTTGTTCTGCATCGTAGAAGTGAAAGGTCACAATCATCACCTTCTCACCAGCAGCATCCGGATATTCAAAGAATGCCACATGCCCAGGTCCGATGTAGCGGCTACCGATCGCAGACTTGTCACTCGCGGAAACGTTCAAGGCAGATCGCAGGAAATAGGAGCCCCCCGGGTTTTGTGTAGAGCTGTCAATAACCGCCATGTCCTTGCCGTTTTTGTCCACGTATGGTCCGAAGGGGTTGGTTGATCGCCCCATGACTGTCTCGTATGTGGAAGCCAGGCCATTACAGCACTTTCCCCAAGTCCAGAACAAGTAGTAATACTGAGTCCCGCCGCATTCTTTGGGTAGGACAGCTGGCGCCTCGCCAGTGCGAGCATTTGGAAATTCAGGATCATTGGGGTCCGAGTAGCAGGTGGCAACGATCTTGTAGGCCTCTGCAACAGCAGAATTGTGGGTCACAGAACTTCTCCCGATCGTGTTAGGAGACACGAAACCATTGTCGTCGAGAAGCACGACCTGGGCTCCGCCAGGCATGTGGGAGCCCCAGACCATGTAAAGTTTTCCATCAAAACCTTCGAAGACATCAGGGTCGATGCCCAAGGCCTGTGTCGTCTCAGCAGCCCACTCCTGCTCGGTTGCATAGATTGGGGTGGTTGGCATGCCGTCGTCGTCCAAGATCAGGTTGCTGCAGGTCACCGGCTTGTCGTCAGGCACCCAGGTCTCATCCCTGTTCCCGTTTCCCACCGCCCGGCCAATGCACGCTGCACCCATCTCTGCTCCACTGCCTCGGCATTGGGTGGATTTGGGTGGGCCGCACATTGGGACAGGGATGGGGGCGAGAGCACAAGATCCAGAACGTCTTGGAAGATGGTGGTGGGCGGGTTCTTTACCCAACCGTTTGAGGGTGCTCGATAATGCGCTCTCTCTAGCTCTCTCACTCGCTCGCTCTCTCCAATGGCTCTCAGGCGGCGCCTTTCAGCATGTAGACGGAGAAGTACATTACGCAGTGGTACTTGTTCGCATTCTTCGTGGAGGTGAAGGTCGGAGAGGTCCTGCAGAATCTGCTGTCAGGCATCATGCAGCATCAACATCAATATACGTATGCACATTGACAGCGGGTCCTGCACTTCAGCCCCGGAGCATCAAAGGAGCCTGTGGCATGCGCTCCGTTCTGCCAGTCGCACCGCGCAAAGCGTGGCCAGTTTGCGTTGTTGGCCTCAGCGTCCCAGCGCTTTGGAGTCTCAGAGCTGTTGCCCCCCGTGGTGTGGTTGTGGGTTGGTTCTATTTTCGGGTTTAGGCTTTTTAGGGCAGGGGCCGTAGACCATGGGGTGGGGGGGGGGGGGGGGGGGGCGAGAACGCACAGCTCACAACCATGTATTTTCTGTTTGTTTAAACTTCGGGTGATGTGACTCACGGAATCTCAGGGGGTCAGCACCAACGAAAACCGAGCTTCCACGGGACCGTTCAGCCCGAAAGGTGACTGCGTGTTCGCGCCAAACTGGTTTTCTGTGGACGCGTCCGCGAAGAAGCTTGCGACGCCCAGGGCCGACTTAAACTCCTTGGCAGTTTTGCGCACAAAGTTTGCACAAGCGACCAAGCAGCTTCAAAAAAAGAATAGAATTCTCCAAAGTTCCGCCGAAAATCCCAGTCATCAGGCTCCCAGCCGCAGGGTGCCACGCCCTTTCCGCTCGTCAAGAAAAAGACGTGGCCATCCTGACCCAGATTGTAATTGGTGGGGTCGTGGACGAACTCCATGAACTCTCGTATCTCCGGATCTGTGGAGCCCGCGTTCACGGCTTGGCCAAGCACTGCATATTGGCCCGAGCTGATCAAGGGCACGGGGTCTGGGCCTTGAGGCTCTACAAACAGCACCTGGCAGGTGGGGTTGGCATTGGGGCCCGCGTCGGTTTCGGAGAGGAAAGCACTTTGATTCTGGAGCCAGGATGCGAAAGCATCGCGGAGGCTGGTTCCTTTCACGACGAGCCCCGTCCAACCGAAGTCGTTGAGTCCAACCTCGCAGTGTCCAACACAGCTGTGCAGGAAGTAGGACGAAGGAGCCTGCAGGGTGGACAGGTTGCCCAAAACGGCATCATGCAGTGCTTGCTGCGCAGCACGTTCCTGTTGGGTGCAGCTGCCTTCGAACGCACAGCCTGTTGGTATCTGAAGCGTCTGCGTCATTTGCCAAGAGTCATACAGCGAGTGGAGCACGAAGAGCGGTGTGCGCACGAAGGGCAAGAGGTGTGGTGCCAAGAAGCAGCGCCATGGCTCAGATGCGTATGCCTCGAAGCAATCGGCGCTCAAGGACGGGGACTGTCTCATGTCCATCGCCCCGAAAGCCCACTCCCAAAGCGCAGCCTGCCCATGCGTGCCTGCTACGTCCGGGAGGTCGACAAAGAAGCCGCAGTAGTTCATGCCCACCACATTCACACCAGGGAAGCGTGAGCGGATGAAGTCCATGTGAAGCATGGCACTGAGACCACCAGCAGATTCACCCGTTACGACGAAAACCTGGGCTCCTGTCAGCCCAGCTGAGGCCAGGCTGTCCAAAGTGGCATTGAGGATGTGCGCACCCCTGAAATAGACCTGGCCGCCATCATCACCAACTGCAACCGGGCCATCGACATTGCCTGCCCGACTGCCGCCATCGCAATAGAGAGCCCAGACCTTATTCCAATTGTACATGTCCGGATTGATGTCAGCCTTGCTTGACATGTAGCCTTGGGCAAAGTCGCTTAAGAGAGTCTCTTTCTGAGCTTCCCAGGTGGTGCTGCTCCCCGATGGAGTCTGCGACCGACCGTAGCACGACTCGAGACTGGTGCACCAACCTCCGCCTTGAAAGTGCATGATCCACTTCTGGAGACCTGTACCAGAGCCGGGCTCAAAGAAGTACCCCGCCGGGGAACCATCCAGGCAAACTGCCCCTTCAGCCGCGGCATCCTGGAGTAGGACCAGGGACCATGAGTCGAAGCCAGCCATCACGCCGTGAAGAAGCAACGCGACCCATGGGGCCAGCATGGCAGGAAACGAAAGACCCTCCACCGGCCTAGGCGACCGGCAGCCCAAAAATCTAAAAGCAGTTCTGACATGTCTAGTAGGGCGGTGCAGGCAGCGCGCTGCTACCCTTTTCCCGCTTAGAGCGCAAGCCTTCTGTTTGTTTGGGGGGGCAGAAAGGTCAGTGCGCGTCTTCTTGTTCTTTAGCTGATATGCGGTACGTCATGTTATGTTCGGACGATATGGTCAAGTCGAAGGCAAGGCCATTCCACCCTTGGTGGCAAATCATGACGTTCCTCGTTCCTCAGGGTTAGTCTATGTGAACATGTGTTGAATGCCACCTCGCTTTCTGCACGATCTAGAGCTGGATGCCATTTTTTCCCGAGGAGGCAGAGCTGTCCAGAGTCTATAGAGCGCGTCGCATCAACGAGCCGCTCCTACCAAAACTGCGCATTGGAAGAGTAACGCATGGGAGATTCTGTCATCCTGAAGCCTCCGGTGCTGTGGCGAATTCGGACATCTCAGGGGACAGGCAAGTGCTAAAGAAAGAGTCCACCTCCGGCTGTGTCACGATCAGCAAAATCGCCCCTACTGCATAACCCAGCAGATATAGTTATCCTGACAGGGACATCTCGCGGCAAACGCTGCGCCGACTGCTGCAAGCAGTTGGTCTAACATGCTACGAGCCCAAGCAATCACTTATATACCATGGATTCGCAACTCGAAAGATCTCGAAAGCCGATACACAGTGCTGCATACACTTGCACGCCTTGGTGAATGTTATCCTGTCCCCGGTGCATATACGCTTGCTGCTGTGCATTTGCTGGCCACATGTTCAGCTCAAGTACCATGCGCAACAACCAGTCGGGAGCATATGCCCATTAAACAACAATACACCCACCCCTTCTTCCGGCGACCCAATATCCGCCGACCCCCTAGCCCCCAACTCCCCTACCCCTACCCTCCTGCCCGTACCCCGCCCAACCTCCCCCCCAAACCCCCTCCCCCCCCCTACCCTTACCCTGCGCAAGCTCGCCGCCCTTTCGAAGGGGATTGGTCTTTTGGGGGGTCGGCAGCACTAGCAGTAGCCATGCCATTAAATAACAAGTCGATTTCAACTCAGGATGTACAGCTTTAGGGGGGCCTTGCAGATGTTCCTGTACGGATACAATGGGCCATGACATCGCAATCCGCAGCAGTCAAGGCCCACGAGATGCGTGCCTCGCCATTTGGCGCCAGGAGCCGGGATTTGAAAAAAAGTTCGCAGCTTGAGCCACTCATCGTGACCACGCACATGAGCTCATTGACAGCCGTGTGCAAAAGCTGCAGAACAAAAAGAAGTCGGGAGCGTGCAAAGTTTCGCTACCGCAGGCGCTCAGGCCCCTTTATGGGCCTATGGCTTTGGCAGGTCCCAGCAGCGTAAATCCGAATCCATGTGGCTCAGTAGAATCTTGTCGCCAACTTTGAATTGGTTCTTTCTGTAAGCAGAATCCCGACGGCCGCAGGCACTCCCCACCCCGTACTCGCAGCCCTGATCGACGAAGATCTTGAACCAAGCGCCGCTGTGTTTGCGGGTCCAAGAGGCGTCGCCCTGCGTATAACGACAGTGCTGCCCCCAGACTTTCAAGTCCTTGCCGTAGACAAGCACAATGTCATCCAAGTCGAAGCTGAAGTATTTGCCCGGTTCTTTTGGCTGGTCCCGATGCTGGATCCCCAATACTGTGATGATCCTTGGCCCCTGAGTCACCCTCACGCCCCAGAGGTCTACTATGTTCCTCCAGGGCCGTATCTGAATGCGGGGGATGATGACATCGTTGGCAACATCGTGCTCCCAGAGAAGCTCGTCGTCCATGAAAACCCAGAGCTTCCTCTCGCGCCTGCTCACTCTGTAGCTATGCCACGTTTGAATCTGGTAGGGGCTGGCATCAAGGGTCTTCTTCTCGAAGAGCTTTCCTTCCTGGTGCAGCTTGTTGCCGCCGGCATCGAGCAAGAAATGCGACTTCTTGCCGTCTTCTGTAACGAATGCGATGCTGCAGGCGGTGCCTTCTTTCTTGTGCAGGCGCATGTAGAACTGGACATCCCAGCGGCTGAAGTGCAGAGGGCGCTCCCCCGAGGCCGACGAGCTTCCGATGCTGATCAGCGACTTGCTTTCGTCCTTGATGTTTGGGCACCTGTAATAGTAGTTGTTCGCCTTTTTCGCGCATTTGCTCCCAAACGCGAACTCCTTCGCATTCCACTCCAAGAGGGGCTCGAACTTCTCAGCCTGGGCCATGAGGCTGAACGCTTTCAAGTCGGGCTTCGTCGGGGTCTGAAAGTAAAGGTACAGCCCCTCACTCTTGAGATTCGTCAGCGACAAGTCCCACATCACTGGGGCCACATCCCCGCCGAAATTTCTGTGATGCATCCGTCTCCTTTCGCTGGCCGAGCTGGGTTGGTAGAGGGAACTCCGTTGCCACCGCCGGCGGGCATATCCAAGATATCTTAAGTACGGGACTTCGTTCTTGACCAAGGCGAAGATGCGGGCATGGCCCTTGGACCTGGTGAGGGCAAAAGTGGCCTTTTGCCATTTGCTGGAGCAATCTGCGGCCCAAAATTCCTTTTCACCCAGCACTGTCGTCCCAATCTCGAACATCTCCAAACCTTGCTCCCACAACTCTCTCTTGTAGATATTGCCCTGTGCTCGGTCTCTGCTGCTCTGATCCAGGCCATCCACGCATTCATTCCCCCCGCAAGTCACCATCCTCAAGCGCTGCGCCATGAACATGTCCCTGGCTGGGAAGAAGAGAGGGGCCAACTTGGTAACGATGTTCCTGCGCTTCAGCCGGATGTTGTCGTAGAGGGCGAAATGCAAGTAATCCACATCCTTGCAGCTGCGCGTGCATTGCCCCTCGCCGTCCCCGCAGCACTCCTGGGCGTCCTGACTGCCCGCGGCACTCTTGCACATGTCTTTCATCTTGTCGAGGATCCTCGACTCATACCGCAGGGTCTTGAAGGTCGCCAGAGCGCTCGGGGGGTTCGAGTTCGGGCAGCCTACCCTCTGGAAGGTGTCGGTGAGCACCTGGTCCACATCATGCACCACGGATGCGCTGGCGCCCGTCCGAGTGCTGGAGGTAGTGCTGGCCGCGACGTAGTCCTTCACCTTTTGCAGCTTCTCGTTCAGCGCCTGAAAGATCCCTTCAAAGATGGAGAAGTGCACAGTTGTGATGGATGACAGCAGGGTTGCTGCTCCAGCATGGACCCGATTTTGGCAGCTCGAGCTGCCCCAAGACAGAGACGTGCAAGGAAGCAGCAACCTCTCGGCCAAGCCCCCCACGTCATTCTCCAAGGCCAACGCGTATGCCAAGGCAGCATCGGGCTCCATAGAATCCATTGCAGAGGACACCACAGTTCCAGAAACAAAATTGCTGATCTCGATATGGACCTCCCTCAAGCTCTGCTCAAGCACGCTTGCCCTAATCAAAGATCTGGTCTCTGCCATGATCTCCTTCTTCGCCTCCGCGATCAGCTGCTCTGCGCTCGGCGGCGGCGGGGGCTGTGGCAAGAACATGTCAATCAAGCCGCAGGCCAACATTGCTGTTGGCCCAAAGAAGGGAGCATACTTCCCTCCTGCAACCATCAAGCCGGCAAAATGGGCGCCATATGTAATGGCAATCTTGCCCAAGGAAATACCCAGTTCTTTTGTGTCCACGGAGCCCTCGCTGTCATGGGTGTGAAGAGACGACATGAGAAGTGTGATCAGGTCGAAAGTGGCACAATAGGCCGTGGCTTGCTTTGAGTAGTCCTTTTTTTCCTTCAGGTCTGGCACCAGCTTTGAACGCCGATAGTTGCGCCTTTGGGCGACCGTAGCTGCGCTGTTGTCGTTGTGCTCCAATTTGGCCAACGCTGTTTCGCCGAACTCTGTGTGGGACTCTGACAAGCTTCGATTCCCGGAAGGGTCGAGAACGTGCATCTTCATCGCGAGGCACGGGACTAGCAGTACCAAAGCCCGCCATACCATTTGCTGCATTGCGCCAGAGAAGGCGTGGAGGTGCTCTGCGTTAACTGGAGAGCCGACCGAAACTCATGCAGCCAAGGTTTTGCTAGCTTGACGAGGACCCCCATGAAATCGCAGAAGCAGAGTCTCAAGAAAACGCCTGCAGACGCACCCCATCATTGTTTTGCCACCTCTCCGTGTGCCTCCTTGCTGCCTTCAGGCGCTGAAGGGCTGCGCCTCGGTCAGCTTCCGGTGTCCGGCTTTCGTTTTCAGGATGAGCCCTGGGAAGACCAATGCAAAAGAAAGCTCTGGTCCACGCTGTTTGGGGTCTTCACGGCAATGCTCTGCGCCTGCTTCCGCAGTCTTCTGGGTTCTATGGTTGCAACTAAGTGTCGGATGACCAGCTTCAACTTGCTCAGCGCCAAGGTCTTGGGGCCTTGGGGATGTCCTTTCATTCCGACTCGTTCCAAGTCGCAACTACACTACAACTAGACTTAGGTATTTCACTTCCCCCCTGTGGTTCACTGTGAGTTTGGTCGCTCACTCTCGCACAAGGCCCGCAAGGTTCATGGGTCACATCGTGGGTTTAGGGTTTAGTTGAGGATTCCTGGCACCAGAGTTGCCATTTCCTGATATTGATGTGCGAGTTCACTCATCGCTTTTCATCGCACGGGGGCACCACACAAAGCTGGCGCGAGCTAGTTGGTCGCAGGGGGGCACCAAGCAAAAAGCGGGCGCGAGCTATTTGATCGCGGAGGGGGCACAACACAAAGCTGGCACGAGCTATTTGGTCGCAGGGGGTCACCACACAAAGCTGAGCTATTTTTGGTCGCGGAGGGGACACGACACAAAGCTGGCGCGTGCTATTTGTGGGGGCACCACACAAGGCTGGCACGAGCTATTTGGTCGCAGGGGCTGTGGGAACCGCTTGAAGGAGCCGCGATCCGATTCTGCTGACAAAAAAACCCTGGACCCCCCGTTGCCATTTTTTGAACTTCTCGAATTTATCCATCCCCTGTTCATTGTGTCGGTGGGATACGACAGGCAAAATCGAAATAATGGAGTCGTGCCGGTCACGAATTTCTGACACAGGAGATGTCCCGACACGAGGCCTTGCCGGCCATGTCTCGCTTTCATTGAGGTAGGCTCATGGGCTACGCTCCGACATGCGCACTCGCCATTGTTCTGTCGCTTCTCCTAAACCCTCCATAGAACTTAAACTCCACTTTCTGAAAGCGGCTGGAGCAGGTTCTCGAGTTGCATTTTCGGATTCTCCGAATCTAACATGCACATAGGGCAAAAGTCCTTACAGATACCTCGGGCCAAGCCTCGTGCCCGAAGCACTCTGTGGCTTCGCGGGCATCTCCATGCTCAGCTACCCGCACTCGACGGGGAGGACCCGGGTCTCCACACGCAGAATGCAAAGCTGTTTCCTTCAAAACCGTTTTTGGCCTGGAATGAGTGGTCAAATTCTGTCATGCTCTGCTTGCTTCGGAAAGGCTCGAAAAAGGCGGGCGAAGAGAGGTTCGGGTTGGGCTGGTTTGTCACCACGAGCTGGAGGAGGAGCATGGGGCCGGGGATGCGGAGCTGACTGTTGAGGATCATCGGCGGACGCCTGACTCCACCTAGAAGCAAGGTCCGGCAGCATGGGGGCCGTGGGTGAAGATCCAAACACAGGGGGAGCCCATTTAAGAAGTCAGGGCCATGCGAAGGCATGCATGCCGGTATGCTTCGGGAAGCTGGTGAAGAGGGCAAAAGCAATTTCGGGTGAGCGTGGGCTGTGGGTGGAGTTGGGATGCCCAGAGTGATCAGTGTATGGGTTCAAGCAGAAAGTGTGTTAAACTCTACTGACCTCGACAAGACAGGCACAAGCAACATCTTTACAGCCTGAATCCGCGATTCCCGTAAAATCTTCAATGCTGCCGAGCAATGCCTGGGCTTGCCACGTGTGGTTCTCTGCAGGGTGGGGAGGGTCCGCGGCCGAACTTTACATCTAACCAAACTGCATCTCAAGCTCTCGGCTGCACAACCCGCACAGCCAAACGCGGAAGGAAAGAAACGTGCTTTGGGTTGGACTTGTGCCGCAGTGACCGTCCCCAGGCTTGCCAAGTGTCGGCAATCCCTCTGGCACTGAAGCCTTTAGTGTGACTTCCGTCTTCTTCCGCATCTCGCAACCAAAATGCGCGCGTGGCAGGACTTGCTCAGTGTCGCTTGGGATTTGTTCCCACATGACCGCGCCTCTTGGGGGAGCCATCTACGTACTTGCTCCCGCAAGAGAGGCCTTACAGGGAGCGTGTTTTTCTCTCCACATCTTGCGAGAATGGGCCGCTGGCTTCGCGTTTCTCGGCTGTCAAGGCCCCGCTTCCTGACTTTTGTGTTTCCCCTTGTTGTGCTGTTCCCTCCGAAGCCCAAATATCTAAATTGTCTGCATGCAACTCCTAAGCCCCGTGTCCCAAGTCCTTCACTGCGTCGGCAAGTTGGTGAAGGAATGGCAAATACCAGCTGTGGCCTCGTCACCTCCAGCTCGAGTGGCGCAGCCTCACAGCCAATAGTCCGCATTTCAGCATGCGATGAATGTGAAATGCATTTTGGCTCTCTCGCTCTCTCTCTCTCTCTCTCTCTATATATATCTGTGTATATGCACCAACAGTGCTTCACAGATATTTCTGCGACGACGTGTTTCAGAAAGCCGGGCCCCAAAAAGGGCGGAGCCTGATTCCCGAAGCACTCTTTGGCTTCACGGCCATCTCCATGCTCAGCTACCCGCACTCGCGACGGCGAGGAACTTGCAAAGGGACCCTGGCCTCCACACGCAGAATGCTTCAAAACCGCTTGGCCTAGAATGGTCAAATTCTGCCATGCCCTGCTTGCTTCGGAAAGGGATTTAGGATGAGGTTCGGGTTGGTTCGGCGCCACGAACTGCAGAGTCTCCAACAGAAAACGACTTCTCGCTCTTGCGCCTTTTTCTGCCACTGGCTCGCTCGAGGCTGTCTCTGCATGGATCTATATGGCCCTAGCAAGCCTCAGTACCATCCACGCAGTATTTGTCGTCCACCCGTACGCGGATGGAACCTTCCTTGTTTGTGCTACCACAGCCCGCCTGGCACACACGTCTGTCATGAAAGATGGAGTGGGGGATACCATGCGCCTCAACTGCTGTTGCTGCGACTAGCTAGTGCAGCTAGTATATTTCTCTGATTTCAAGCTTCCAGGATGCGGATCAACACGGTTTGAGGTCATCGCTTCTTAGAGGTCGGGAAACCTTCGGCCGCGCCTCGCCGTTGGACATGTGGCAGTAGCCGGCGTCTTCGCCCTCGTCGGTGGTCATGCTGCAGCATCGCGATGACTTGGAACCGGAGCCACGCTGGCCCTCCAGGGCCGACACGCGACCCTGGAGGTCCCGGATCATCTTGAGCAGCTGGTCCTGTGGAAGGTCCTTGGGGCATTCCGAAATGGTGTCCCAAGGGGACACGATGCCCCACTCGCTTCAGGCTTCAGCGGTCCTGGCTTACACTTGAGGCGCTGGAGGCATCTCGCACGGCGCCGGCGATGAGGAGCCCGCAAGCCAACACACAAGCGGTGAGGCGTGCCATTGGGAACAGGGGATCTGACAGGCAGGGAAGAAGCTGGAACCGCAAAGTGCTGCAGGCGGCGCGGACTCCGTCCCAACCCGGAAACTTGAACCAAGAAACCCAGGCCCGGGCAGACGCCGAAGCTCAAAAACCGCACCACAAGAATCAACCTCAAGGCCTCAAATCCCAAAGCGTCAAAAGCTCGGCCTCCAAGACACGCCTCGGCCTCCGGCTTTCAGGGCTTTAATTTAAGCCCTTGATTCCAACAAGTCATGCCCGAAGCCCCTTCCCCCAAGTAAGCGCTTACGCCAAAGATGGAAATATTGCGCTTAGGCGCCCGCCTGAGCCTCCTTGGCCGGCTTGTTGCATCTGACCACATTCGGGCACAGTTGTCCGCTGAGCCTCCCTTCCCTGCTTAGTGTCCTGAATCTCGCACTCCCAGCTGTCTGCCTGTGGTCCTCAATGCTGTACTGCCTTCCGTCCGAGTCGCGTCACATGATGTGCGGCACCGGTTTGTCCTTAAAATCTAACAACCTCACTTTTCCGGTGGGGAAACAAGTTTGAGGAACATGAGGAGCATCAAGAGACCCTGCCAAATCCTCCCACGCTGGGCATCTTCCCCATCACCTGAAGGACCCCAGCCATCCGGCAAGGCCTTTATCGTAAAGAACCCAAAACAAGGCAGCCATCAAAGCATGGACATGTGCACACATGTGCACAATATGCTAAGCCTCTAGCCTAGCCCAAGCCAAACAAGAAAGCCGAGCGCTGGCAGGAATGCTCCGTGCACTGGAGAATCTTCCACAGCTGCTAGGGACAACGGTTAGATTGAAGGCTGTAGGGGGTCAACGGATGGTATCTTCTCAAAAGGCTTGGGTCATGGGGGGACTGTTATGGGCCATTATGGGCAAGATGGGGCAAGGCTCGTCGAATGTGAGCAGGGTGAATGTGAGGCAGGAGGGCTGTGAGGAAGCCAATCCGCACATCCCGGCCTAACATGACTCGACAACCCGACACTTCCCTGCCGGAAGAACAAGCGGCCCAAAATGCAATTGCAACTGCCAAGTTGTTCATAGCATGACTCATAGACGTTGTACCTGCATCGTTTTATGCACACAAGCTCGATGCGCCCGCCAAGTTGTTGCGAAGCTGCATTGTCTAGGGCAGCTTCTGTAGAAACACCGCACAACACACTTGCTCCAAGACTGCAAACGTGTCGCATGAATTTATCTCATCTCTGCAAAGACCCTCGTGTCTTACCGTAGTAAACCATGTCATGAACCTCCACGGTGTCCAGATACTGCAAGACCTCCCGAGCCGCAAAATGCCGTTGTGCAGGGTTTCAACCTCTTTCCCAAAAAGACTCGAAGCCTTCTGAAACTCCATGTGTAGGCGCGAAATAGGCTGAGATGCAGCACGCACCGCCCAGCTTGGTGTCTAACTTGCACCACAACTTGTATCGGCCATATTTGTTGTATTACAACTTGTGTCGGCCATACTTGCGGTCTCGCCATCCGTGCCAAACATAGAGTAGTCAAGCGGACCAAACTGTGGCAACTCCGATTTTGAGGGCAGAAGAACGCGCAATTGAACCTTCGGCCAGTCCAAAGTGGACGCAATGTGTCCACGCAACGCCTCAGCAGTATCCAGACCAGATGTCTCCAAAGAGATGGACGCGAGCTCATCACCTGCCAGGTTGACACATCCCAAGGTCAATGGCTGCCAACAGGTTGGAGAAAGACAAACGATTCGCTGTGGGAGCTTCCCAATTGCGTACTTCCCGATCGCCTCCTCGTCACTGATTCTGACACCAGACTCCAAGGCCTGCATCTGCAAGTGCTCCGCCCCCTGCAAAATGCGCTGCCGAGCATCCTGCCCAAACCTCTCCCCAAACCTGTTTTGCATTATGAAAAGTCGTTTGATACGAAGGTCTGCGACCGCGACCGCCGTGCAAACCATCTCCTCATCATCGGCCAACTCCGCCGCTGTGAAAAAGAGGTTGTGGGCGGAGGCCCTGACGGCTGTCAGCGCGAGGGCGTGGTCAGAGCGGACTGCTTGCGGGGCTCTCTGGAAGGTGGACGGACTTGCAGTGAGCAGCGCCTTCGCCGCCGCGTGGTCCATCCAAGCAAGACAGAGCAAAGCCTCACGACTAACTTTCGGGACGATGAGGCCCATGTATTGAAGGCGGCTGACAAGTGGCACGTGGGTGTTGCCGCACCTGTTGTTTCTCAAGGTAAGATGATACACAGTCGCCGCTGACCGGAGGCTGTGCAAAATCCGCATCAGCGCAGCGGCCTCACAGAAATCGTCGTACACGATCACCAGCCGCACAGTCCCTGCCAGGGATGCGGAAGCGGTACTGCCCAGAATGTGGAAGCTGACCGGGTAGGTCGCCCGTCCTGCCAACCAATGCTCTGCACCCGAAGCCATCGCTGAGGAACTGCACAAGATCAATGTAGGGCACTTGTGGAGTTGGAGGAGGAGGAGAGCTGTTACTCTCCTCCTGTGCTCTGATGCCTCCTCCCTCCAAGCGCGCCTCTCCTCTTGCTTTGTCGCGCGATAAGGAAAACTGCAACGGGCATACATCCGGATCTGGTACTGCGGCACCTTCAACATCGCCTTCTTCCATCCGCAGCCCGCCTTCTTCCCACCGCGCTTCTTTCGGCCTTCCCTTTGCGCGCGCGATGCTTTCGGCTCACTGTGCACCTGCGATGCGCTGCTCGGTCTCTTCAGGGCAGGCCGAGCTTGCACCTGGATCCCTGCCTTCGCAGACGCAGACGCAGCGCGCAAGACTTGCCTCAAAGATTCCTCCAGCGCGTCTTGGACAGGCGCTTCAGGCGCTTCGCTCATGGGACTGCGAGTCGACACCGAGCGACTATCGCAAGTCTGATGCCACAACTGTCAGAGACAATGGCTTGGATCACGGATGCTATTGTTTCTTTGAACAAAGATGTGGTCCTAATGGCCCGACTAGGATGCCCGAAGCACAACGACTAAGATATGGTTTAATCAGAAACCCAAAGTCTGGACTTCAAACTACATGCGGGAGTCATCTCAGTCTCATGCTCAGACGTTTTGAGGTTTGCATGGCGCACTTGGTGCAATGAACCAAATAACAGCGTGCGCTGTCTGCGCCCCCAATGACCTGAATCTTCTCGAGATGGTCCGGAATCGAAGGATCTCATCTGGATAACCTTGCATCATGGGCCGCACAAACAAAGGAGCTTGCATTTCTAGTACGTCTATTTCATGTGCCCAGAATGTTTTGCCATACACATGTAATACATTACAAATATACTCTACATAAGAATCTGTATAATTCTTTGCATATACTATTTACAAATATGTGTATGATATAGCAGCCAAGAGATACTGTATCCTGTAAACCAATTATCCTAATTGTGGTATTATACAAATTATACTAACTAATTATACTAAATATACAGAAAGTGACACACTACGCTTCCAGAAAGGATTTTACTTGCGCGAGCTTACGCGCTTCGAAGTTTTGCTTACGCAGCCAACTTCTTGCTGCCTTTGTTTACGCCGGCTTACGCGGGCTTACGCGGGTTGTGTTTTGCAACCTGTCCAAGCTTTATTCCCTCATAACAACGGCCACAACAGCCAACTTGACGAATGCCGAACTACAGGACAGAACGCAGACGCTGAGCTGAAGGTTTGGAAGATGTGTGTAGGGTATGCGGTTTTGTGGTTTTTGGGCGCTTTCGGGTTTAGGGTGGCCGACACTACGGATTCCCTTCGCACGCCGGTAGTAGTGACACGCCCCTTCGCACGCCCATATCAGTCACGCCGATAGTAGTGATTGAAACGCTCATCGGCCCACACGCCCCTTCGCACGCCGATAGCGGTGATTGAAAGGCTCATTGGCCGACCTGGAGCGGCAAGCTTTGGAGGATGCCTTGGCGAAAGCAGAACCAATACAAAACCAAGAAAAGCCAATAGAAAACAAATAACAACCAATAGAAAACCAATTTAAGCCAATAGAGCACCAATAGAAAGCCAATAAAAACCAATAACAACCAATATAGAACCAATAAAAACCAATAGAAAACTAATACAAACCAAGGGGTTTAGGGTTATGGTTTAGGGTTAGGGTTTAGGCCTAAGGGTTAAGGGTTGAGGGTTTAGGGTTGAGGGTTGAGGGTTTAGGGTCGAGGGTTCAGGGTTAAGGGTTAAGGGTTTAGGGTATATAGGGTGTAGTGTTGAGGGTTGAGGGTTGAAGGCTTAGGGTTTAGGGTTCATAGAAATTGTATAGGGCCTGGGTCCAAATAAGTTTTGACGGAAGCGTTTTGATCGAAACGTTTTGACCGAAACGTTCTGACCGAATTTTTCTGTTTTGGAACTATGTTTCGCTTTTTGAGGGGAGTGGGGAGGGGGGAGGAGGGGATGAGAAGGGGATGAGAAGGGGCTGAGGAGGGGATGAGGACGGGATGAGGAGGTGGATGGTGATGGGGGCTGGATGAGGAGGGGAGGGGGAGGAGGGGAGGAGGAGGGGATGAGGAGGGGATGAGGACGAGGATGGGATGAGGAGGGGATGAGGAGGGGATGAGGTGTGGCAACATGTTCGCACTTGAGCGCACTTGCTCGTTACTGATTTAGTTTCGGGTTTAGGGTTTAAGGTTTACGCGTGTCGCGTTCTAATAGTTTTTCTGTTTTTTTGGTTTTGAGTGGTGTTCCCACGGCAGGGTGGGGGGGTGGGGGGTTGGGGGGCGGGGGGAGGTTGGGGGGGGGGGGTGGGGGGGGGGGGGGGGGGGGGGGGGGTAGGGGTGGGGGACTTAGCATCTGAGTTCCACTTGAATGTCTGTAAGGACATATACTTCGAAATTCCCACTTTGGGTTACTAATCACGCAAGCTCTGATAACATCGAGGAAAAGGGAGCGATCTTGAATCTATCAAAAAATCTTTTTCGGGCGCGGATCGTCATTCGTCGAATCTATGGAGGGGAGGGCGGGGGTCGCCGTTCTTCGAATCTGTCCATTAATAATTAATATATTTCCTTGAAAGCAGTCTTAAATAGGAGCGATCCCAAACGAGAGCACACCGTTGCACAGAATGCGCACTCCAACTTCTATCGTGAGCGTACACAACTTGACGGAGGCATGTCGCTGACAAGCGCTCTTGGCCGTGGCCTTGGCTTTGGACGCATGCTGCTGCCGCGCACGCTGGGGCGGCCTTCACTGTCTCCTGCCTCTGGAGTGCCTTGGCAGCCCTTCGCACCTTCTCTGCCTTTCCTGCCTCCTCCCTGAGAAGCGCTTCGGCAGCCCTTTGCGCCTTCTCACCCTTCTCCGCCTCCTCTCTGCGAAGCGCCTCGGCAGCTTCGCGCCTGCTCTGCCTTCTCCTCCCTGAGAAGCGCCTCAGCACCGTCTTTGCACCCTTCACGCTTGCACGTTGCCTCCACCCTTCGCTCTTTCTCGCCGTTCTTCTTTCTCCTGCGCGCCTCCTCCACTTTCCGCGCGTCCTCGGCCTTCGCCTTGGTCCTCCTCCACCTTTTCAGGAAACCCAGAAACGGCTAAGCCCAACGACTAGCAATAACTCGACGCAAGCCTGGCCAACCGTAGACAGGTTTGGAGTCGACGAGTTCTTTGCACGGTTGCTGATGTTCGGATTCCCACCTGGGCAGCCGTAGACATGTTTAGAGCTCGTGGGTGGGGCTGTGTTCTTTGCGTTTTCTGTCCTGTTGTTGCTTTTGAAAAGAGACGACACGACAGAATAAACAAAAAGGACAAGAATGGAAGATCCTTCGGGCAGGCCTTTGTCGCTGCAGCAGATGCCAGCAGCTCGTCCTGCATCGTCTGCGCGTCGGCCATGACTTCCTGCGTGGGCGAGAATGACCCAGCGTCTCAGCATCTCTTTGGCCGGGCTCATGACCCCCCAAGCTTGCTGCTGTATCGTTCTCCGACGTTGTTTCCTCTGAGGATAGGCCTGTGGAGCTGCAGTAGAATGACAGCTCGGCCTGGATCGTCTGCGCGTCGGCCATGACTTCCTGCGTGGGCGAGAGTGACCCATGCAGCGTCTCAGCATCTCTTTGGCCGGGCTCATCACCCCGTGTCGTTCTCCTTGCGGAGCTGCAGTAGAATGACAGCTCGGCCTGGATCGTCTGCGCGTCGGCCATGACTTCCTGCGTAGGCGAGAGTGACCCAGCGTCTCAGCATCTCTTTGGCCGGGCTCATCACCCCGTGTCGTTCTCCTTGCGGAGCTGCAGTAGAATGACAGCTCGGCCTGGATCGTCTGCGCGTCGGCCATGACTTCCTGCGTGGGCGAGAGTGACCCAGCGTCTCAGCATCTCTTTGGCCGGGCTCATCACCCCGTGTCGTTCTCCTTGCGGAGCTGCAGTAGAATGACAGCTCGGCCTGGATCGTCTGCGCATCGGCCATGACTTCCTGCGTGGGCGAGAGTGACCTTGTCCTTCATGCGTTTTTGCAAGCTTCTCGAAGCCACCAGCCTTGATGCCATTGACGATGTCTATCGCTCGGAGGTGTGGATCTCTGTCGTTGGTGCAGTGATGACGTGGTCACTTTGGCGCAGTCGCTTTATGAGGGCATCTTTTCCATCCCTTCCATCCATTCCATCATGCGTATGGTGATTACCTCGCCTGAACTTTTCAAACGCCTTCAGCCCATAGCACGATCCTGGTACTGGCACTGCTTTCAGTATATCCAGGTCTCTAGTCACAAGTTTCGAAAATTAATTCTGCGACGTCAGTTTGTTGGGGTGACCGCTATTATTGGAACTTTTTTTTTCCGGATGGGTCCTTGTTTTAAGGGTTTGTGCTTAGGCTTAAGGCTAGGGCTTACGCAGTAAGGCTGAGGCCCTGAGGATCTTGGGCTCCAGGAATCTTAAAGAGCCAGAGCCAGGAGAATCCAGAAAGCTACCAGTTCCATTTACTCTTTCTTTCCTTCTTTCTTTGGGGCATGGGGGCGGCCCCCCGCGCGGATGCGCGCCCCTGTCCGTCCACTCTCTCTCTCTCTCTCTCTCTCTCTCTCTCTCTCTCCTGCACGCATAGCCCCCCCCGAAGGGAAGGCTGCCCCAAGGGGCGCAGCGACGTCCAAGGGGGTCTCTGTCTCTCTCTTTCTTTCTTTCTTTCGGAGGGCGTCTCTCTCTCTCTCTCTCTCTCTCTCTCTCTCTCTGTCACCCACTTCCATTTAAAGCCTTATTGAATTTCCTTACGAAACGAGGCCCCAAACAAATTGTGTCATAGGTAGTCCACAGGCCAGCCCGACGCACTTTTAAAAATGTGCTGCATCACCCTCTATAATACACTGGCCCGGCAGGGGGGGTTCCTTAGCAACGCAGGAATCTTCCGGCCACCTTAAGGTCCTAGAGGGCTTGAGGCAAAGGCCGTGCGCCAAAAACAAGGGTTCACAAGCGCGGAACGCATTCTGAGCGCGAAATCGGCAATGGACACTCGAGCTTCGGCCCTGGGGCCCGGACCTCTCGAAGCTAGCGCAAGGTCCCCGCGTCCGGCCGTGCCTGAAAAAACGGCGGGCCATGGCGGCTGCATGCTTGTGTGGAACATATCTGTACGTGATTCAATGCACTCGGCGCGACTCTTTATCATGAAACCTCGGCAGCACGTGGGCCGCCTTCACGTGCTCTGGCCGATACGACCATCAGCGACACCATCATCGGCATCGACATCGCCCCTTCCTGCAGGCAGCCCAGGATAGTCCAGGAATGCACCTTCTGTCTACCACATCTACTGCTACTCGACGCCTTCCGAATTTTTCATGATTCAGTGGTCGATTCCAGTCCAGACCGAGTGCTTGTTCAAACAACCCATCAGCACACAGCAACCTCAGCTACAGTTACAACGACCATTTTCGGCAACAGTGCGGAGGTGCAAAAACCCAACTATACAGCTTCCATTCGACGACTGCGTGCCTCATCTGATCATGCCAGCTGCCGAAGTAGCTCCGGACCTGAATCCCCAGATCCCCCGATCTTTTAGGAAAACGTCTTGGCAGGCGGCAGGAACTCTGAACACAACACCATCAAAAGAACAAGCAATGCTCGGCTGGTGTGTTGCATGCCTGCCGTGCCGTCGGCGCGCGAACCTGGAGTAGCAAAGTGCTCACAGCTCACAAATTGGCAGGAAGCAGAGCGCTCTGCTCATTGCCTGGTCAACTGGGGAGCCTCCAGCGGATCCTGGATATGGTGCACCTGTAACGAGAACACGAGAAAGGCAATCTGGCAGGCGATGATTGTAGGAACGTCGGTTGGCTATCTTGGGGCATCTTGGAGCAATGAGATTGCCAGGAGCATCTTATTGGATGTAAGCCGCACAGCGAGACGATTCAGTTTCAGGGCAGGGCTTCTTTTCTCGGACGGGGTTTCGCGGTTTCTGACTCTACTTTGTGTGTTTTGAGTTTTGCGACTTGGGGTGAGGCGGTTTCGGACTGACTCAACAGCACCTTCTTGAATTGACCAGACCTGCCAACAACGAATGTTTCCCGCGCTGCACACGTCCGATCTACGATGTCAATGCTCGTGATTCTCAACTTGTTGTTTATGGGCACTGGTCTGAGATTTCCACTGCGCAGCTTCGGGCAAAATCAAAGACTCCTTCTTCAAACCAACGATGCCATCCTTGGACATCCATTGCACCTTGCGCCTCCGCTCAAACCTCATGTCGGATATCACCTCTTTCACGGCGTTGTTGCTGCTAGCATTCGCGGCCAGGTGTGCGCTTGGTGGGTCACTAGCTGCGTAGCAAGGCACCACTTACCAAGCGATCATGGGGGTAAGACGAAGATATGTTTATGTGGCACGCCTCTCGAGCGCCTGGATGAGCTGGCAATTGAGGCCCCACAGCTTCACCCATGACCGAGATCATCCCTCAGGTAGCAGAGAGGAACACAAGTGGCGGTTCGGTCTTGTCACTCACCCCCGCCTTGCGAATCGGCTTCACGCATGTGCTAAGCAATAGCAGGCTCGCATCGCCTAAGACTCGATTCCAGAGCGCGGCACATGGCAGGCATGCCGTCAGTTGCCAGGGCATGGAGCCTTCGAAGAGAAGCCGGGTCTCAGCGTGGCGAACCCAAGCAATTCCCAGATCCTCGACAACTCTCAGTGACTGCGGTGGAAGACTCCAGCAATCGCCAAAAGCACAGGTCTCCTTGCTGGAGCTCACTGTGCAGCCCTCTCCCTCGCCAGCAACGTAGGCCGGCAGCGCTGCGTCTGCCAGCGCCCTGCAGCTGGCTGGCGGCTGATACAGGTGGCTTCTGGGCCCAACGACACACTGAAATACACATATGAGCGGCATGCACCCGGCAGATTGAGCGCAGGGCCGATCGTCCGTGTGCAGGGCTAGCCGCGCCGCTCGGCCACTCGGCTGGGCCCGGCCCCGTGGGCGGAGGACCTCCGCCATCTCCCCATCATCTCCACATCACACCATTGTGTGTCGTACTTGTCAGCATGAGTCATGCGACCAGGGCACGCGGCGACACTCACCCAGGGAAGCAGCATAGAGCCTGGCCCAGGCGCTCTGCACAAGGTCTATCAAGGTCTCCTCTCGGCGCGAAAGCCACAAGGAGCCCGACCTCGCCAGTGCCTGGTGTCCGGGCCCGAAGAACTTCCCAGGTGGCGGGTGCAGCATCAGCCGGTCCTTACATCAAACCAAGAACCTCTCCGCCCTCGACTCTCGTCTGGACTCCCATGGGTCCGGCTCTGTGAAGATCGAGGCCCGAACAGCGCAGAAGGCCCGCAATGGCAGCCTCCTCGCATCCCAGCGCACGAGGTCGATTCGCGAACGCCTCGAAGCAATGCGAAGCAATGCAAAGCAATGCGAAGCAATGGGAAGCAATTCGAAGCTGCAAGGTGCATGCTGCTTGCCGTGGGAGCATCTACAGTTCGGAACAGGTTTGTGTCCCGGCATCGCACGCTTGCTCCAGCATGGTAGCTGTCTCATTCGATGCCCAGAAATGCACTTCCCGCCTTTTCAAGGGTAGTTGCCGCATGGGGCATGTTATCTGCTGGGGTGTTGAAGGCTTGCAGAGAAGAGGAAGGATCCACCCCTGGGCATCTGAAAGCAGCTGTTTGTGGCGGGAGGGCTTTGCCCTCAGGCTAGGCGGTGGATGAGATGGGCACCCCTCTGCGAAATCACAATGTCGCTGATCGCCCCGACCTTGTCTCTCAAGAGCAAGCTATAGCTGTAAGCTTCAACTTGCTAGGTCATTCTGCGGTCATTCGGCGGAAAAAACAACACGCCGCCTCCTCAACTTTTGCCAAGACACTGGGAGATCAAAGGCTGCAGCTTCGAAGTCTTTGTCGGACTGGCCTGGCACGATCCAGCCCAGGTCGGCCAGGGCGCCGCTGTTGGCAGAGCTGCAATCGGAGTGCGCCTGACCCGAATTGTCATATGGAAAAACGGGGGACAATGACAACGAGGCACAAGCAACACAGCACATGTCAACACGAGGTGCAGAAGCAGCTGGCGCAGAACGTGGGACTTGCCTTGCAGAGCCTTGGGCGGCAACTCAAAGCGAATGCTTGTGTTCACCGGAGGATTCTCTGTATGCAGCGTGGCTGCTAAAGCCACACTACGAGACTTTGCCTCGCCTTAGGCGTCAGAAGTTCCCACCTATTTTCCCACCTCTGAGCCCAGAGGAGCGAATTCGGACGGCCCCTCCGAATTCGAAGAACGGCTTAAGTCTGGGGGACCTAAAACCCCTACGAAGCCCACGGCAAAACTCTCAAGGAAGCCCATTTACAATTCCTGCTAACGCAACGCAGACCCCGTAAACACATGGTGAATGCCAAGAAGCTCGGCGAACTTGGCCGTGAGCTTCTTGCCCGCATCCGGGGTGCCCTGCGGCATGGCATTCAGCACCTGCGGCCATGATTTCGCAAGCGAACCAATGCGAAGGCTGGGGCGACTTGCACCTGGCCTGCAGCAGTTTCAGGAGCTCCTTCTCGGCATCCTCAGCTGTCTTCAGCTGCGGTTCAAAAAGCGAGTTTGCAGCTGAAACACTGCATAACACTAAAGCGAAGGATGGCGACTGCAGGCATCCAAGCCGCCGCCTGCGTTCGGCCTTTGCGTGCTGCGCGGCGAGCATTGGCGTCGTGTGCCGTGAGGGACTCCCACTTCATCAGGATGTGAGCCACTCGAATGCCTAGAGAGGCCAAGCGAAAACCGAACAAAAAAAAATCTCCCCATGGTCAGGAAACTGCGGGGAGGGGGAGGGGAAAGGGCATGTGGTCGGCGCTGCGGTCCAGGATGCGGTTTGGCATTCCGCCGCCAGGCTGTGGACCCACCACCACCGCCACCTCTTTCTCTGGCGGCGTCTTCCTGCGAACTGCGAAGATTCGGAGATCTCATGCGACGACTTTCCTAAAAAAGAGCTCGTCGTGAAGTGTGAGCTTCGACATTCTTTCTGGTTTGCGTGCGCCTCTTCTTCGTGTCTGCCTCGTTCTCTGCCGGCTGAGGAGTCTCCTCTTGGGCCTTGAGCGAGAAGAAGGCTGTCAAAATGCCTGGCCACGAAGCACACGAAATTAACGAAAAGCGGTGACGTAAGAGAAGCTGTGGCTCACAGCAATGGCCTAACGACTGGCTCTCTGACCCGTCTTTGGAGGAACCTGCAGAATGCAGAACATCACAAGGCATCAGCGCAGCTGAGGTTGCCAGCAACTCCAGCAACTTACGCGTCTTGGCCTTGCTTCCGGCAACCAGCAGCCAGCTGCGTTGCGAGGGCCTTCGGCCGCCCCTGCGAGCGATGTAGGAACGATGCTGTCATGAGCAGACATGCCGATGGAACGAATTGCAGTTTGGTGCCGAGTGTGCTACTGTAGAGGGAGGCAGGGCAATGCCAGTAAGTTCAATTGGGCAGGTGCATACAACATGGTGCAGAGTTTCAGGTTCTTATCACATGGAGAATATCAGGGATGCAGGCATGGCGGATTTACCGCCGGTATACAGGCTGAAAGGTTTAAAAAGACGCAACGAGGTCAACACTACCTGACTTAGCGAACGTCACAGCATAGCATTGATGATCAGGACGCTCAACAAGAAGTCTTACGTAATCAGTGTCTTGAGTAGGCTTTTCGGCGGTATAGGGAGTCACCACCAATGATCATAATCCGAAGTATATTGAGCCCGAAACCCTAAACTTCTAACTGACTGGAAGGTTAGGCCTCTTCTTCTCCGTGGGATCGGATTCCCGGCCTGGTGCTCTGCCGCAGCCTCGGCCATCTGAGCGGGAGTGACGTCATTGGCCCCATCCGTCAGGAGCAACAGGCAGCAGGAGCTTCCTCACGGGTTTGGATACAGGGAAGGTTGAGCCCTATAAACCCTACTACACCCTTTTAACCCCTGGGCTGCTAAACCCTAAACCCTAAACCCCAAACCCTAAACCCTAAACCCTAAGCCAGTTTATGTGGGGGAACTTAGGTGGCACGAACCCAAAAGCTGTCAAAGCTGAAAGAGCCACACGAAGGCAGGCAAGACTCCAGGCTCTATCCGGAAGATCTCCGCGTTAAACTCGAGGCCGACCAGCCTTCGACGTGGACAGCTTCTTACATACCTCTTTTTGATGCTATCGCAGTACGTTGCCGCATTGCCTTCGATTGCACTATTTCGCTTTATACCACTATGCCGCGAAATATTGCTGTCTCACCATAAAAGTTCATTATCTATCACTTTGTGAGGTCAGATGACTATTTGCAGCATTATTCTTATATACAGCTCTGCTCTCATTTCTACATAGACTGTTTATGAATATATCTATTTCTCCCCTCGTCCATGCGCCTGCGGGGCTTCTTGAGGTCTCGGAGCCCCAGCGCAGAGGCCACCTCCACGCCTCTCTTTGGGGAAGCGAGTTCCACACGGAGAGAGATGCGGGGGGACTCTAAGCCCATCCGGGAGAAAAGGGACTTTTTCTCACAGGGGGTTCAGGTTTACGATTTCTGGCGAGGGAACATCGCCAGGGCTAGAACTCCTGCCTCTGGCGGCGGGCGGGGGCGTCCAAATGGGCGTCGCTGGCCGCGCCGCCGCATCGATGACTTCCCGCAAGATCTCCCAACCTGCTGAGGCACAGCGGGGAGCGTAGCGTGGACGGTTGCCCGAGAAACCCGCTGAGCCCTTTCAGAAGCAATAAACACCACCTCCTCAGCCCAGTCTAACCCTGAACCCCCCATAAACAAGCGTCCAAAACCTCAAACTCCCTTCTTTGCATCCAGGACGCTGAGCAGCCAGCAGGGTAAGACACACACACACACAACATAATGATACGGTGGACTTAGTTACACGTCCCCCCCTCCCCTCCCCACCAAACCTAAACCCCACATCCGGAAATCCTCGATTCAACCTCCCTCAGCTTGCTAGACGACCCCCCTCAATGTTAAGTCCCCACTCCTCGCGAGGCGTCGGCCGGGCAGAAGGCAGCAAGGCCGCTCAGCACGGCCTGGTACCGAACTTGCACGGCGCCATTGGCCACGGCCTCATAGGGGACTTAGGAAAGAGCAGGTTCCCTGTACGCATTCCTTTGAGGGATCGATTTAAGGACTTCTGATAATAACTATGCAGGTTGGTTTCGAGCACCCCCCCCCGGGCCCCCCGGGCCCCCTTTCATGGGTTGTTAAGAGAGTCTAGGCAACCGGGCCGTGGAGAGCTGGAGAGCTCCGCGTAAACAGAATGCTGCAGTTACATCAAGTTACATCCCTCAAAATCTCCCCACTGGTTAACAGCATGAAAAATGTTGGTGTCGCGGCACTCTCACTGGGCTTGGGGGTCTTTCAAGCCGTTTAAGAAAATTGGGGGGGGGGGGGGGGGGGGGGGGAAAGCGGGGGGACCCTCTTCACGACTTGGAGCTCCGAGGATGCTTTGGCAGAAGGTGCCAGGCCTCGCCGCAGCCAGGTGCCAGCGCCAGGAGCGCGGCAGCGCGCTGCTGGCTGACGATGCCGCCCTCCTCGTCCAGCATGTAGAACAGCTCCGCCAGCCTTGGATCGGGTGAAGCAGCTATGTGAGACAAAACTGACAAAAAGTTAAGGGGGTCCAAAAAGGTGTCTGAAGCAAGCCTTTTTCCCGAGAAAGGGATGAGTGGCTGCTGAGCTCCGAAGATGTCCTGCGCCAGCATTCTGTCAATCGCCTCGCCGGCTGCCTGGCCGGTTTTTTTCTTGGGAACCCTTTTCCTGCCCCCCCCCCCCCAACATACGCAAGCGTGCCAGGCCCTGCCTTAACTCGACTGCGCGCGCATTCCGTCTTCAGGTCGCCCTTGCCGGGCCCCAGCAGAGTTTCAAAAGCCTTAGGGGACAGGCAGGCTGCGCATGGCTGCGCCGAGCGGCTGAGAATGTGTAAACACTCCAGGCGCCTCCACGGCTTTCTTTCCAGCACCGGCGGCCACCGCCTCCGCTAAGCTCAGGCCCAGTGCAGCGTAGGGGTGCGCGGCGCGAAGAGCCTCTGCAAAGCACAAAAGCCGGCGCAGGAACTAAGCCCGCCTCAGCCGCCTCAACCACAATGCCCAACCCCTAAGCATCCCAAATCCCCAAATCTCATACTGGCCACAAAACCCGCTCCAACACGCAGATGCGCTGCAAACTCAACCCTCTCAAGCACACGAGTTCAGGTCTGTTCAACTGGATACAGTTTTCGGCAGGCGCCCCGCCCTTCGCACAGCCCGGTCGCGATCGGAAGGCTCCTTTGCCAGAGCCTCCTGAGCCACCAACTTGATCACCCCACAGCACCGCTGCTCTCAAATAAGGGGAAAAAGTTCGGATGGAAGAACACCCCAGCCTGGCTCGCTGATGCTGATTGCAGCTCATCTCCAGGCCGGCCCTCGTAGTCAAGGGGGCCGTAAGCCTCGCACCGCCCGTGCCGCTATAAATTTCCGAAAAGTGATTCCTGGCTTCGCACCTTTCCCTTTTTGCCAAACTTTCCCCTCTTCCACCACTTCCCTGCTGGCCCTCCAGGTTACCATGCGTCTCCTTGCCATGTCGTGTCCCAGTGCCTCAGCTCGCCGGCGCCGCTGGGACCTCAGGGACCAAACCAAACCGAATCGAAGCACTTGCTGCCTGGGCCCCCATGCCCGGATCATCCGGCCAAGGTGCGCCAGGACTTCTAACTTCGTGTGGCCGGGCAGCCCACCTGCGTGAGAGCATGTGATTGCAGGGGCGCGCTTAGACCAAAAGCGCCAGCACGAAGCCTCCTTTGTTCTCTGTGGGCTCTGCAACCAATTTGCATCCACCGGACTGTTGCCCCGAAGCATGCAAAAGGCTTCGAGCTTTGCGCTACCCGCCCTTTTGGCACTCACAAACAAACTTCCAAAACCGAACCAAGTGTTCTTGGGGGGAGCGGGGGGGAAGGGATGTTCCAGTTGATCCCCAACAGAAAACCAACATGAAAAAAGATTCTCGAAACACCCACACCTTCGACAGTGCGGCAGCTCCAGGCAGTTTTTGGGGCTGTGCCCCGCTTGGCCGCCGGCTCCTCTGGCGGCGCCGACGGCGAGCACACCACGGCGCGGCAGCCGCCTGAAGTCTCGGAAAGGCTTTATAAACAACATTTCGGCCTCTTTTGACCTAGCCCTCGAGGAAGGGCCCGCTCCCTTTGAGACTCGCTTCTAAGACTTGCTCTGCAAATCTCTGCACGTTAGACTCTAGTTAGACATGGCTGTAGGACTCCCCCACTCAGGCACGGGCCCATGCTGCAGATGAAGAGCCGCCTGCCCAGCAGCAAGGCCACGGCCAAGCTGCAGCCAGCGTAGCGGGCCGGACTCTCCTTCTTTTCAAAAGCAGCGCCAGAGAAGCACAGAGAAAAGTGAGAAAAGCACAGAGCAAAGCGCAGAGCAAAGCACAGAGCACAGAGCAAAGAGCAGAGCAAGCACAGCCTACATTATCTGCTTATATCTGCATATGTCTGCATGAAACCGCGCTTCTAGGCGCCCAGTTCCCACAGCTAGGCACCCGCAGCCGACTAACGCTCTTCACTCCACGGGTCCAGAAGTGCATGGTCCAGATGCTCCAGGGCCTCCGGCTGAACAGACTGGGCGATGATTCGGTTCTTACGGTTTCTAGAACTTTCTACCACATAGCATGGAAGAACCGCTCGAACTAGATTCACTAGATCCCTTAAACGGAGAGAAATTCTGACAGCACATGGGCCCCAGCCTCCCTCACTAAAGCAACCAGCTCGCTGTCTTCAAGCTCCGAATGAGTCGCCTGGGCGTCTCTGTGATAACGGGCTCCATCCGCCCTTTACCCTCAGCAAGCTGCATGAAGCCGCAACGAACCCTTCAAGACAAAAGCTGCTGTAGTGCGGACCGAAGTGCCGAGAGGCGTGGCAGCAGGTGTGTGTGGAATCTCTTCGCGCACCACTCCGCGGCCAGATTGGACTGTCGCAGGCCATCTACAAGGAGGAAAAGGGCAGCCGGCTTGTCCATGAAGGGCAGGGGCCTCGGAGACGAATTTCTATGCGTGCTGCCTCTTTTTGATCTTTGTTGTCTTCTTGATTGTGGATTGATTTGATGAATGGCTCCGAGTCGCTGCTTCAACAGCGACGCTGTGCGCGACAGCTCAGGCAGGATTACAGCCATGTCGTCTTTGCGCCCGCTTGATGAGGGCAAGCACACAGACCCGTGAGCCATCTTCATGGAGTGCTCCTCGGTCAAGCAAAGCTTTGTCTCGCTGTTCTTCTTCCGTGCGCTTTGGGGTCAGGCCAAACCCTTCCCCTGCGCGCACGCTTGTAGGCCACGCGCGCTCTTGCTTTCAACCACACTTGGCCCAAACTAAACGAAGCTGCCCAAACACTTACTTACTCCTGGGTCGCACTCTCAATGCATTGGCTGTGCTTGATTGGACCCTCGCAGTAGCGCATCCGCTAGTTTGAGTGGTCGGGTTTCCCTGGGCCATAGGTTCATGATGGCTCGTGGCCCTGCTCAACGATCCTTTGGCGGCTAGACCGAAGCTGAACACCCTAAACTTAAACCCCCTCCCCCACCAAGCCCTCCCTGCCATCCCCGCCGTATGCTAGTCCATGGGCTGTAGGTGGTCCATTCCGTGGGCAGGAAAACAATACCTCTCTCTGCGTCTCCTTGCTCCCCTCTACGGCTCTACGGTCTGCGCACAGGCCTCGGATGAGTGCGGAATGCCCGTCTGAAGCCACCGACTCTTGGCTGGCACATAAGTCACCTCCGTCGAGCGGTTTCGGTAGTACTTTCCTCAGCTCAGAAGGCTTCAGAAGGCTTCAGAAGGCTGAGAGGCGTGAAGGATGCAAACGCCGCGCAGCAACTTGGAACTTCAAATCTAAGAGGCCGGTGAACGCGTTGAAGAAAAGGAAGGGCACCTTTTCATCGAGCTGTGCACATAGCAATCACTCGCATTAGCACAGCAAACGCCCCGCTGAGGCGCCGGCGTGTTTGCCTTCCTGGTTCTGGCGCTCGTGCCTCGAGGGGGGGGGGGGCGAGAAGGGGGGCGAAGAAGCGCAGGTTTCACTGTTGCTTGGCGCGGCCTCCGGCACTCACGACCTACGACTCAACAGCATCCGGGCGGCATGAACCAAATACCCGGCTGGCGCGGCACTGGCGTCTGAGCCTGCCCATGGCCGTGCTACACGAGAAAATGTGCGAGAAAACGTGGAAGCCACTGGGAGCCTGTGCTGCAGCCCAGGAGGGACCAACGGGGGCAAAGTTCTGATCGTAGTCTCTCCTGTCACGCCGATTGAAGCCGACTTGCCCTGAAGCGAGCATCGCAGCGTTGCAGAGGCAAACAGGGGCATGTCCCTCCTCTTGTTGTTGGCCTGAAACCACTCCGCAGTGGATTCGAAGGTTTCTTTCTTCGACTGTTGGGCCGCAATGAACTCAGGCAACAGGTTCTCAGACGACTCCAGGACGTCCTCCCCTGCCAGCTCCTGTTGGGGTTTGGGCCGGGTTTGGGGTGTGGGAGGCTGAGGCGGCCCTGCCAAAGGTCGCTGCCCATGTTGCTCCTGCACCGTCCACTGCTTGCTCTCCAGGAAGTAGCAGCGTCTCCATATCTGCAAGCAGCAAGCCGCAAGGAAAGAAACCCCAACTGTCTGTTCATCTCACCTTTTATCCGACTCAACTGCTTACTTCCGGCCTCTTGCAGATTGAAGCGCTTCTCTGGACACCTGAAGGCGAGACGCTTGAGGTCACCTGAGCTGCATCAGAGCACCAAATGCACACAATGCCCCCCCCTATTTGGACTGTAATTCCAATGCTATAGCCCTGACTAAGTCACCCACGCCAAGCCGCGCCCTAATCACGACTTCTTTGTGGGCCACAGCCTTGCCCGGACCTGAACCCAAAGAAGCCCAGGGGCAGCCATCCTTCCGCGCTTCCTCCGCCGTAGCCCTCCGCGGACCCAGCACCCGCACCTCCTGCAGATTCGTTTAACCTTCTGAGGTTCAGAGCTAGGCTAGACGAGGGCCGCCGCGGCTTAGGCTGTGTGTTGCTCGACGGAGACGCCGGGACTCCTTCAGGTACTCGTCCGGGCGCTGTACGTACACCTCGCGCGAAGGAACGCTCCACTTAAACAGCTTGGAAGGCACCTCCTTCGCTCGAAACACGCAACTGTTGGCACGCCAGAACCCGGTCCATTCGAGCTTGATGAACCCTAACACCCCGTAGCGCGGGCAGTGTGGAGAACTAGTGGAGAACTAGAGAACGAGCCATTTCTTCGCCGGAGGGCGGAGAGGTCGGCCCGGAAGCTTGGCCCGATCCTGGGAACAAAGGAACGGGCCCCCAAAGCACGTGGCTCACACACACACACACTCACACGCTCACACATTGAAAAAGATAACTTGAAATTCAAAAGCTGCCCCTCGCATGAAGGCCCGTGACAGGTACATACGTACTCAATCACTGATATCGATTTGTCAAGGCGTGCATTTCGTGGGTAAGGTGGTTCTCCCATCTCCAAGCTAGCAATGCCACAAAGCCGAGGATCGAGTCTACGGTCACCACGAAGTCCGGCGGTGGGATGCCATCCACAACCCACATCATTTGGGAGAAGCGCCGCGCGGCAGCCTCCTTGAGGTCCGCCTTGCGCATCATGATCGGCTTGATTGGGCCACTTGAAAAATCCATGCAGACTCTTGACATCAGCTGGCACGATCTTCCATCACGAACAGTAAGAAACACCGAAGCCCTCAACACCTTCTTGTTGCACAGGCTTGATGGGGCCCTTTTTGAAAAAACCCTAAACTTCAAGCCCTAACCCTAAAACATGATGATAAGTGTGCTTGCATGGGAACTCATGCTATATATGGTTTTGGTGGCTTCGCGATCTGAGCCTCGTAGACCTCCTTCTCCTTGTCACCGGACTCGGGAGAGCTGAACATGCCAATGAGGCTCGCGGCGCCTGCCAGGTGGTGTTGCTTCTGAACGCTTGGTATACTCATGTACACACCTTTGGGCACTTAGAGGTCCCCGAGGTTCTGTAGGGAGGACAAAGCTCTAAGCAGACACCCTGCGAACCTCCAAAAGTTGAAGAAATGGTGAGGTGATGTTCGTGAGAGTTGGGAAACCAGATGAGAGAGCAAACGGGGCTCTCTTCCTTTGTGTATTCCTTGCAACCACACGATTACTGTGACTTTTCGCCTGGCGGGCGCCCACCCGAAGAAACTACCGCGCAGCAAAAGGAAACAAATTACCCGCCCAAAGAAAAGTTGCAAAAAAAAATACAACTTCCTCCCGATACGAAGAATTCTAACAAAAAGCCGCCAGGGGCCCTCCCGCGCAAAGGTACACCGAGGAAGATTCATTCGAAGATGATTCCCCAGAAGGTGTGCAACAAAGGCCGCCAATTCCCCGCTTGCGGGGGATGCAGAGCCACCCTGCTGATTGCCCACTGGGTGCCCACCTCGAGAACCCAGAACCTGCTTGGAGGTGTAGGTCTTCCATGCTCCTCCACCCTCACGGGTCCTTAGCGCCCCAAAGCAAATGCTTTGTCTATCCTCTGCCAACTCTACCGGTGTAGGGCTGGCTTCGCTCAGCTCCATATCAAGAGCGCGTTGGGCCCCCACGACATCGTCAGCCCGAGAGAAACACGGACGATCTATGTGCTACACATCTTTGCTTCGAGGGCCAAAAAGCAGCTCGGCGGACGGGGGATGCGGGTCCAAATGCCGAAGCGCTCTCCCTGGTTCTATTTTCACAGCTACAGCCATGCAACTGAGAGAGGAAGGCCATGTCGCAACGAGGGCCTGGGTTGTGGCAGCTGTGCAAGGTTCCAGCCTCGGGAGTTCCACCGCTTACAGGCACCCATGTCAGAGGCAGGCGTCCGTGCCTGATGTTGCCAGGGCCACTTCGGAGATATCCCCACATAGGCAAAACCTCCATGAAAGTCAGGCAAGGGTCCATGGTAGCTTCAGTCTTTTTTCCACCATAGCAGGCGCGTGGCAGGAGGTTCCCAAATTCACAGCCAGTGGCCACCTGCATGTCCACAAAAGTCATGAAAACCTCCTGAAGCTTGCTCACCTAATCCTTGCAGCCCCACATACCAAGCCTCGGCTGTCACCAGAGAGCCGCACATGGGATCCACCAGGAGCTGTCCAGGCACTGCTGTTGCCTTGATCATATCTGAAAGGAAACCATCATCATGGTTGAACCGGTTTGCCTGCCTCGTGGCGTAACAGGGCTTAGGATGGTTTAGGGTTTCGACGTGTTATGCTTCGGCTCGCATGACTAGCCGACGACCAACCTCCATACCCAATGCAGGGTTTGAGAATGAATTCGGGCCGGAGAGAGGGCCTCGCCCATGCATCGCGCCAGCCCCGCGTAGCTGAGGCCTGACTGCTTCTCTTTTGCACTTCATTCTTCACATGTATCATTTATCCATCTATCTGCACGCATAGATGTGTCGGTATGCATTGAATATGTGTGTCTGTGCATATGCGTATATATACATATATACATATTTCTATGTGTATGTGTATACATATACATAAATATATATATATATATATATATATCTTTATATGTATGTATGTTCAGAAGCTAGGGCAAGAAATTCGAGGCGAGAAGTAAGAAGGAAAGAGAGTAAGAGAGAGGGAGAGGAAGGCATAAAGAATAAATCAAGGAGGAAAATTGAAGCGAAGATTGACAAAAACGGAGCAACACATGAAGAGAGGAAGGAAGACTAAACGAGCTGTGGCTCTTTTCAGACAAGTCTGGGGAGCCATGGGAGAAGTTCCTTTTGGCACGCGTTGTCTATTCCCACGGTCATGGGCTGCATCCTGTGCACGTTTTCATCACAACTGTCATGATTTGTCATCACGCGCGTCAAGGAGGAGCCATGGAGCCTGGGCAGCCTTTCGCTCTCCGCAGGGGCTTCGGGCGTCAAGCTGGGCTCCACACTGGGCTTCAGCTCTCCCTGAGCACTGCTTGAACGCACTCCACGCAACAAGGGGAGCTCTCCATCCCAAGTCCCCGGCCAAGCCAGACCGACGGTCGGCTGCCAACAAGCGAGTGGCAAAGCCTGGCTGCGTAAGACATTTCTAATGTCCTTTAGGACATCGGCCCTGGGTTGCCAAAATTTGGCGCGGGCCTTGGCGCCCTGCAAGGGAAAGGCCCAGAAGCAGCTCTGTCGGCTGCAGCCAAAGGACCAGCTCCTGTCGCTTCAGAAACCTGCCCCCCCCCCCCTCCCCCCCAAAGAAAGCTCGCAAAGAAAGCCCCTACGTATTTCACGAATTCTTCGAGAGAGGTTCGCGCAAGCCCTGGACCCTCAGCAAGAAGCTCCAGGTCGAAGCTCTGCAACTCCGGCCGCCAGCCTCATGGCGGCGCATTGGGCTGAGAGTTCTTCTCCCTCGGTGCAAACATCGCTCCTCTCTGAGCCTGGCGCCGAGGTTGGCCTCGGTCCCGGCCGCCAGGGCGGCTGCGGCGGCGTCGGAGCCTCGCAAGGGGCTTGTTGGACAGGCGAGACTCGAACCATAAAAAGGCTTGAGCAAGCTCAGGGCCTATGACGCGGGGTCCGCTCCGCCGGCAAGTCACCCGAAACGTTGGGGCAGCCTCCGCTGAAAGCCGTGAGAGAGACCACGTCACAGAGCGTTTTGCAGTTTTGCAGTTTTGCGGTTTTGCACCTTTTACACCCCAGCTCTGGCAGCTCTGCCTGCTCTGTCCCCAAGCAGAACCTGCCAGGCGGTTTGCGTTGCCTCGCCTTTCTCTTCTTCTGCTGCCTCGCCTCGCCCCCCGCCGCAGAGAGGCCGCCACGGCTGGGTCGGCAGTCAGCGCCCGGAGATTTGCAGCATCGACTTGGGAGGTAGGATTGGCGGACTGTTGGCAGTAGGGTTCTGCCCAACCTTTTTTTCCCAACTTCTGGCCATGAGCAGACATGTGACCTGCACTTTCCGAGTTTACTGATTCCCGCGCTTCTGGTTGGTGCAAGGATGTGCGAGGTGTAGGTTTGTCTTGTCTCTTTAGATTACCTTGTTGAGCCCGGAACGATTTCCGCGCGACGCGCCAAGCGCTGCGCGGGCGACCTGCAAGAACGGTGCAAGGACTGCACACAGGACAGCAGCATCTTCTCTGATTGCGAGCTCTAGACAGCCTTTTTTCTAAGCCACCACCTACAGTAACTTCAATTTCTAGTTGCGCTTCAAATCTTCGGGGGGCCTGCACATAGATGCGCTCGGCTGCCAGCAGCTCTTCCAGCTTGTCTCGGAGGCCCTGGATTCATCCAATTCCCAAATTCCAAAAAGTACTCCACAGTCTCATTCCAGAGTTCTTATGGGCGCTCTCCTCTCGCCTGCTCCTCTTTGGCGAGCAGGCAGATGCGGCCACTGCCCTTCTTCTCCTCCACGACAAGCTCCGGCAGCTTACGGCCTCGCTATCGAGATTTCTGACTAAAGCACGGTTGCCTTGAACAAGGCTGCGGCGGGCTTCTCCGGCCACGATGTCCTGCAGGTGCCCAATGGTCTCCACCAGCCCATGTGCCCTCTGAATGAAAAATGAAATGGTTTCGGCCAACTGCCGAACTCTCCTCAAGGCCAGGCGACCTCAAAATCAGGGCACGAGCAACGCAGGTTACCATATCTGAAGACCCAATTCAACGCATCGCGGCAGACGAAACTTTTTTCTGAAAGCAGCCAGATTGCGTCGTTGCCCAGAAGGCAAGCCTGCACGGCATGGGTCGACCGCTCGACTCACCTTGCTTTCCTGTCAGGCCCTCTGTGCGCCTGCCCTCGATCACATCCACGCTCACCGCCTGCTCAGCCGAGTCCACGTCTTGCTTGATCTGCTGGTCGTCCTGGCACTCATGGTACTCATGGCACCCACGCAGAACACAAATCCGGGGACAGTGGGCAACATCTGTCCTTAGGGACCTGCCGGTCACGGCGCCTTGGCGCCTTCGCTATGTTGGGCCCACTGCGAACACCGCTCGTGACCTGTCGGAAGCCGTCAGCCACATAGTGCGGGAGCTTCCTTGTCCGATCGACGGGCACCTTTTCTCCCGTTTCTCCTTCCACGCCACTGGCAGCAGCTCCCACGTACACGTGCCTCACAAGCTGAGTCTTGGCTTCAAATTTCCTGGTTTCAAGGGCGCTCAGGAGGGATGACGAAACAAAATCATAGTTTCCACCATAGCAACCGGAGGGGAACACAACAGCCAAGTACATGGCGAGCTCCCACCCACGAAAAAAAGAAAACGCACAAAACGCCCAAGCACACTGACGAATTCCCCACCCACATGGACAAAACAAACGCCCAGACTTGTGCCGGACGAACACCATAGCCGCCGGAAGAGAAAACAGCAGCCAAGCACACTGGCGAGTTCCCTGCCCATGTGGAAAAACACCACCCGTAGTTCCTCCGCGGACTAGCCTTGTGCCGGAAAAAACAGCATAGCCACCGGAGGAGAAAATAAACAGCAGCCAAGTACTGCGGGAGAAAAACAACAAAAGTTTCCTCCCCGCAAAAGCCTTGTGCCGGCAAAACAACATAGCCACCGGAGAGGAAAACAGCAGCAGGCACACTGGCGAGTCCCCTACCCGTGTGGGAAAAAACGCCCATAGCTTCCTGCCCGCAATAGCCTTGTGCCGGAAAAAACAGCATAGCCACCAGAGGGGTAAACAGCCGCAGGCACACTGGCGAGTTCCCTACCCGTGTGGAAAAAAGAAACATAGTTTCCTTCCTGCAATAGCCTTGTGCCGGAAAACAATATAGCCACCGGAGGAGAAAAAAACAGCAGACACACTGGCGATTTCCCTACCCGTGTTGGAAAAAACGCCCGTAGTTTCCTCCCCGCAATAGCCTTGTGCCGGAAAAACAAAGCCATCGGAGGGGAAAACAGCAGCAGGCACACTGGCGAGTTCCCTACTCGTGTCGGCAAAAAACGCCTATAGTTTCCCCCCCGCAGTAGCCCTGTGCCGGAAAAACAACACCACCGGAGGGAAAAACAGCAGCAGGCACACTGGCGAGTTCCCTACTCGTGTCGGCAAACAAGACGCCCATAGAATTCCTCCCCGCAGTAGCCTTGTGCCGGAAAAACAACATAGCCACCAGAGGGGAAAAGAGCAGCACACACACTGGCGAGTTCCCTCTACCCGTGTGGAAAAAAGAACGCCCATAGTTTCCTCCCCACAATAGCCCTGTGCCGGAAAACAACATAGCCATCGGAGGGGAAAACAGCGGCAGGCACAATGGTGAGATTCCTCGTGTGGAAAAAACAACACCTATAGTTTCCTTGTGCCGGAAAAACAACATGGCCAACGAAGGGGAAAACAGCAGCAGCAGGCACGCGTGCGAGTTTCCCACCCGTGTGGGACAAAAACGCCCATAGCTTCCTGCAAGAGCTGCCGGAGGAAAAAAAGCAGCCAGGCACACTTGCAAGTTCGCCGAAGCTCAAGTTCGCCGAAAGCTAGCTACAACAACCTCAGCCCAAGCGCACTGCAGCTCCCTTCTCAATCCACAGCGCCGGCAAAGTGAGCATGAGCATCAAGTAATGAGTATCAAGGAATCACACCGGCTTCAAGGTTGGAACGGCATGTTCTCATGACACTGTTCTTGGGGGCGGCGCTTGAAAAGTATTCGAGTGTCACCAGGTCTGGCTGCTTCGCTTCCATCCTGACAGTCCATGTAACGCAGGACTTGCAAGTGCCACACGAGTAGCCATGAGGCTGACCAGGGCGCACGCAAAGGGGGTGGAGGCCCAGAGTGGACTTCGGGCACGGGCAGACCCTGTCCACACGTGACTGTCTGGGAAAGCATCGAAAAAAGCTGCGCAGGATGCTTCGCATAAGCACAACGCCGAGGTGAAAGTGGGCAGTGCTGGAGAAATACCTTCCATCGGAGCCGTAAAATTAAAACAACGAGTCCTGTCAAAAGTTCAAAAGTTGAGCCGCGAACCGCTGAGGAGGGGTGCAGCCAAAGAAGCCTGTTGTAGTTAAAACTGCAGCAGAGGCTTAGGCCTGAGCCAGTTGCTACCCTGTCCTTGTGTCATGGCCAGCTCTGCCATAAACTCTGACAGCCTCAGACCTCACAGAACAGATGTCCTTTACTAACTTGCCATGATACTGACAATGACGATGATGTCACCAAGCCATACCACTCCAGCACAGTGGGGATGTGGGCATCCCCACCGATCCCAAGACCCTGGAAATCCGGCAGGACCACGAGGCGATGCTCCCGAACCTCTGTCCTGAGAGCATCGCGGGCGAAGTCGCAGTTTTGGAGCCAGATTTCGGGTTCTCGCGGGGGGGGGGGGGGGTATCAGCTGCCTGCTGCTGTTGCTTGCTCGGGGAAGCAGCGCCACGAATGCCACAGGCTCGTCCTGAGCTGTCACTACATGTACCAACGTGCCAACAGGACTCTTCAAAAAAAGTCCTGCGCCATGCCTTGCCGACGTGCCGACGAGCCTCTCCCCAATAGGCTTCCGCGCAAGTGGCCGCTGGGCTCAGCTGCGAGTTCAGGTAGTGGTGCCGAGCCTCAAAAGAGCTCGAAAAGTTCGCTCGCAGTCGGCGTCGCGCCGGAGGAAAAACATCTGAAAGTGACGGTTGAAGTGCCGGGGCCCCGACAAAGCGGCGCCATGCCTCTCCGGCCTTCTGGGCGCTTTGCAGCAAGGACACCCTGAGCTTCAGCACGGGCTGCTGAAAGCCCTCCCGCACCTGCCGAGCTTCTTCCATGTAATGCAGATCCCAGGGTGGTTCAATATGCAAGAACTGCCCCGGTCGGGCTTCCGCTGGTAGCCATGTAGGATCTTAAGCCTCTTCGTTCCTCACTTTTTCTTTGCATTTTTTCTTTGCAGGTTCTCAGAGCCGCACAAAGTCCATTAGCTACCCAAGACCTCGCGCGTTTGCACGTGTCATTCATAATTAGCGCATTGAACCCGGCTATGCCAGGGCTGGCGCCTACTCTAGCGATGCAATGATGCACGGCATCCGGCGCACGCCCAGGGCTGCTCATGTTCGAGAAACACTAGCACCGACGGTGTAGTCACCGTCCTTACACTTGCAAGGAGAGCAACACGGAAGAGACAAAGCAGAGGGCCAATAAGACTCTGGAGAAGAGCCCCCACCACTCCACCACTCCCTCCTATGTTCCCTCTCATTTTCCCTCTTTCTCAGCAGGGTCCTGCGGCAGCAGAGAAGCAGATCGCTGTCTCCCATCTTCCAAGGCCGCAACCTGCAGTGGCTCTGGGGGCAGCAGCTGGGGGCAGCAGCTGGGTGGCAGCAGCTGGTGGCAGTTCTGTGGCGCTCTGCGAGTTCCCTTGTGAAAGTGCGGCTTTTCCATATGGCTCCTTCCCAGGCTCCCGGCTTGGTTCAGGAGCTTGCTCTGCACCTGCTGCGTAAGCCTCTTGTGCTCGAAGAAATCGCCCGAGAGGCCAGTCAGGGCCTTTCACACACAGCTCTTCGACAGCTCTTCGACTTGCAGGTGTCAGGCAACTTCCGGCGGCAGAGGGCCTCATGCAGTTTGGCGATGTCCTCCTGCACTGCGAGTGCCTGATCTGATGAGGAAATACAATTCTCAGGACAGCGCTGGATACAGGTTACCCCAACAGTAACCAAAGATCTCATCTCCCTCGGCTTCTAAGGACCACTGCAGTTACGGTAGCGTTTTTGGTTCAATGGTTGTTTGAAAACACATGTTTTCGTCACTCTCTCAGACTCTTGGGCCCAAGCCGTGGCATTGCCCTCACGGCCCCCAGAGTCCACTTGGTCCCGCAGCTTCACCATCAGCTGCTCCACCTGGCTGAGCCCTCGCTGACCCCCTGTTTTTTGCTTCCAATGCCACACTCTGACACTCTGTCTGACACTCTGCGTGGCATGTGCTCCGCCCACGTACATAGTACGCATCTTACATGTCTCGACACATTCGCGATTTCGGCCAGATCCGCACGCGCTCTCTGGCGTTGCGTGTGTCGGTGGTGGCCCCATGTGGCGCCCACATGGCACCCATGGATGAGGGTGCACCAAGTGCCGTTCGTGCAAAATACAGCTCTCGCAACGGCAAAAAAAGCGCAACCGTGTGGACCCAGCCTCAGACATTTTGTGCTGGACGGTGTCCTGCACAGCCTTGCAGCTGCGTGTGGTTGGCATTACTCGTTGGCTGCGAAAGCCTCGCTACCTGACTCTGACACTAGCTTCCACCAGACGTGTGCATACATGACCACTGATGCTTGCACGGCACCCGGACCTGCACCTGGCGCTTTGACGTCACGATCTCACTGCTCGTGGACTGCAGCTGCCCCTGCGCTTTCGGAGAACTACGGAGTCGAAAAGGTGCTATATAATATTCTTACTGCTATTGTTATTACATGCTTACATCCTTTCATATAACTTATTTGCGCTTGTCATTTTCTGCTGTCTATAATCTAATATCCATTATGGGTTGTCTTGTCTTGTATGTCTTATATGCAGTATACGTGATGTCAGATACCATCGTATTATGTATCATATAGAACTTACATGCGAAATACCATGCTATACACTTCATTGTTTACACGGATATATGATACATTACATATCTGACCCTCAAGACCTGTGGGCTTCGGCACTGTCACTCGAAATGCCTGCAGCTGCACCAAGCTGTGTTGGAGCTGCTGGTGCGTCGCACTGTAGGACTTCTTCAGTGCCTGCAGCGGAGTTTGGGAAGACTGGCCGGGTTTTGATGCTGTGGGCTGACAAGCTCCCAGCACGAATTGACGACTGTCTCATTGACGCCTCTGCTACCCGAGGTCCCTCCGAAGCAGCGGTGCGCTCCGCACCGCGGGTGCGGAAACTTGAAAAGAGGCCCAGACGTGTGGATCTACCGCCGGCCAGAGCATCCGTAGACCGTCGAGTACCAACAGAGGCTTCTTGGAGAAGATTGGCATGACTAGGTGACTAGGTGACTAGGCATGCGACTCAGAGGACGTCCCCGACTGGCACCTCCAGCTCCGCGGTCTTCATGGAAAGCTGGCGCCCCAGTGCATGGATCTCGCTGAGCAGTTCCTGCACCCCACAAACCCTCTCACGTCGAAGCGAAGCTCTGCAATCCCTAGGCAAGCAAGCAGTTTGTGATCCTGGCCACAGATACACTAGAGAGTATTTCATCCTCGGGATGATTCCGCAGAACGACTCTTACATGTGCAAAAGCTTCGGTTTGTTTTTTCGGCTTTCTGCCGAATCGTCCATCTCACTTCTCGCAGCAGAACACACATACACGCACTCACGCACGCATGCACACACACACACACAAACACGAGAAAGAACAAAGAATAAAAATCTATACATATCTATATATCACGATGACACGATCGGACCAAGGACACCCGAATCCGAAGCGCCTGATCTGTGGCAGCCTTCTGCTTCACCAGCGACGTTATCTCTGTGAACGCGCTCCTCGGAAAGGACTTCACTCAAGAGGAACGGACCCCTCAAGGCCCCACGTATACATCGCTTGAATTAAGCCTACGTTTTCATCAGTAAACTCGACACATTGTGCCTTTGCAACCCTTGGCAAGCGCATGCCCAAGCCAAGTCTCGTAAGCTTCTCACGCAGGTCCGTGAGCTGCGACTGCATCTGTTGCTGTACAGATATCGAGTGCCTTTTGTACCTGTTTTGGGCTTTGGCGAAAATTTATCCATGATCTCGACACATCTCGCCTTCCCACTACACTGGTCAGTAGTCAATGTGAGCAACAAAGACAACCATTGCATCTTTCCAGACACACCTGCCGTGCCAAATCGTGAGGCACCATGATTATCATGATCATCATGAGCATCAGCTGGCATATGCTCGGCCAGTTCTGCTCGGCCCAGTTGGCGGGGCATTCACATTCTGCTGGAATTTGACTTAGCTGGGCACTCAGTGAGGTCTGCGCTGTTCGAGGTGATGCCATCACGTATCACACTCATCTCAGCCATCATCGCTTGCCTGCGACAGGCCAACTGTGCATCACACCATCGCTGCTGCGTGTGCTGTCTTGTCGACTGGCTCTGCAGTCTCAACTATGCCACCCAGGCGCAGGCTGCTGTTCGATCGAGCCTTCATTTCCTCACCGCAACACATGGCACGTACACGGGTACCGCATGGCTTCTCTGACTCCTGAATCTCGGAAGTTAAAAACCTCGCATCACACTCGCTCAAACAATATGGGGAAACAAGCGTCACTGAGCCACTGGGAGAATGCGTTCATCGTCGCATCCACGTCAACGTGGCTCTCGGCAAGGCCCTGGCCACCAAGAGCGCCATTGGGGCCCACCAGGGTGGCCATGGCGCCACCGCTCTTCGCTTGGCCGCTCTGTGGGCTCTGCTCTGAGCTCAGCTTCTGCGTATCGCCACGTACTAAAAGCACTCGACACTACACTTGTGACCGTGTTTACACGCATGTTGCGACATTGCAGAGTCCCAGATCCATGCAGCTAGCCAAAGATCTCTCGACTGTCGCACATCTGCCGTCGCCTGCTCGGTCGAGAAGGCCATGTTCATCTCGCAAAGCTTGCCACGTGTTGGTGCTGGACACCGCTGAGTCCAGTCCTCTGCCAGGAAACTGCTGTGAAGCAGGAAAAAGACTCCGCATACAGAACTTCAGACCTTCCTCGGCTTCCGCCACCTTGCGCCACAGTGTGGCGGACTCAGTATCCAGGATCCAGCGCGGCTTCAGCAAGTCGATGACGTCAGCATGCAGGCTGGCGGCCTCGGCAGGCAAATCACTCACTCCGGCACTTAGGCAGGGGCAGATGTGCGCCCACAGGTGCGCGCATGCGCGCCCATGAATGATACCTGCTGAAGAAGGCGCTACCACCCGCTTCCGCGACTGCGGTGGCGTTTGCAGCAGCTGGCGCAAGCCCGTGCAGAACCTGTGGCGAGAAGTGCTGTCCTTGGCCATGCAAAGCTGCTTCTTCAGGTATGTGCACATGCACGACAGCAACATGCCGCATCATCCGCATGTGTGCCCGTTGAAATGAGCTCGGCGCCAGCGGCGAGGCAAGCCTCGGAGCATTCTGGGATGCCATGTAGGCGAAACCCCAATTCGCCAAGTCCAAGTTGCTCGTCCAAAACCACCGTGCTCTCACCTCGAGAGCACAAGTCACACAAAGTGCTTGGGCCAGAGATGCAGGAACTCAGAACCTGGCCATTCAGCAAAGCGTCCACAATTGCGTACCTATTCACGCAAACACTGGCCTTTTTTGTAGGCAAGGCATTTAAGCCGGACTATTTCCAGGACTGAAAGCTCCCAAAGCCCTGCAGCCACGATGCTGATGCAGCTCGCCCGTGCTGTGCGGCTCCTGGCATAAGCACGACTCGATGTCGTGCAAAGGTGTCAGGAGCTCGATGGAGCTGGAAAAACTCATGGAGGAGAATTAGCCCTGCCAGGGTTGACTATAGTAGCCACTCATACATACATACGTACATACATTCATACATACATACATGTATATATATATATATGCATGTTTTTGTTTATCTGTTCGTGTTCGTGTTCGTGTTAACTGTTAACTAACATACTACATACTACATACTACATACTACATACTGCCTACTGCATACTACATACTACATACTACATACTGCCTACTGCATACATACATACATAGTATACATACATACATACATACATACATACATACATACATACATACATACATACATACATACATACATACATACATACATACATAGTATACATACATACACACATACATACATAGTATACATACATACAGCGTATACATGCATACACATACATGCATATTGTTCTATTTCCGCAAACATGACTTATCTACAGTTGGGCTCGAAGCTGTTTAGGGCCTGTCTTGCAGGTACAAGCCGGAGTCGGAGCCCATGTCTAGTGCCCGGCCTCGGGCAAGCCAAGCAGGTCGCAGACTTCTCGTGGCACGCCTGGCAAACCAGAGGGCCCCATCTGGTTTAAACTAACTTTCGCAGTTTTGCGCGTGCGCTTTGCATTTAGGGTCCAGTGCCGGGCTGAAATGCAACTGCTTTGCGGCCACCCCCTTCAGCAGCTCTGGCTGAGGGGGGAGGCACCTCGCATAAAGCATCATTGCAGGCCCATGGTCCAGCAACGGAACACACGGAGGCGCTTGCAAGGCAGTGCGCTTTCCTAAGGCCTGGGTGGTGTTGACAGCCGTTCCTAGCTCAGAAATACATATATGGCATACTCCCAATGCGTCTTGTGTTGCTGCATGCCAGACCTGTAGGGAAGTCAAAACATAGGAGATTCATCTGGCCTACCAACATCTCAGCCTCTGCTGAGGAATCGGCTACGCTCCTGCCTCTGACAGGAGCATGGAATTTTCGAGCACATGCAAAGGGTCCCCTACACATCGCCCTGATCAGGGCATTCTTCGGATGCCATCGCTCGATACGAGAGGCGAGCGCTCACCTGAACTCCTTCTGCCTCAGGTCGTCCTCCGAAGACGATAGAACTGGAAGAACGCAAGATGCGTTGGAGGAGTCCGTGGCATCGATACAAAACGAGAAGCTAAATGCTCGCACGATTTGTGTTGTTGGCAAGTCCATGAACATCAACGTCGGGTGCGATTTCTGGCTGCATCGAGATACTCAGACTCCCCTTTCTTCAGCCTTGTTTTCCTTGCCCCAACTCGCCTCCAGCGGCCAGAAGCCAGGGAGGCGTTCACCTGCGGAAGTCACGGTTACTGCTTCCGACTCCTCTTCTTCCTATGGGATATGGCACACATATCTTGCCCCGCACAAATGGGAATTGCCACGATGAAACACAAAAATCGCCAGCCACTCTCCGCCTTGCGCTGCGGATCGGACCTGGACAAGGAAGGGAAGGGAAGGGAAGGGGACAGGCAAGCCACAGGCAACAGCAACAGCTTCAACATGTCGCGAGGAGAATCGGCAGCCCCTAAGCCCGAAATTCCACGCCTGCAGAGTGGGGAGCGATTGCACCTTGGACAGCCGCGCCTTGGTAGGGCTAAGGAAAACTCTATCGATTGCGCAATGTTTATGATCGGGCTTTAGGGTCGATGTGCTTGCGCTTAGGATGTCGACTGATCTCATAATTAAACATCACACACGGACAATGAACGACAAGCTATATTTTGCGATCGGCTTGCCACATTGGCGCTGGGCCTGAACGTGTCAAAGTCTGCCGCTCCCTGGTTAAGATTGTTCTGTCAAACCCTTCGACGCCTCCTGCACATGGCGAAAAAAAGCGCGAGTCTTCAGTTACCGGGTCTTCGAGATGCCTTCTCTTTGGTGCTCTTGGGTGCTCTCTTGTGACCAGAGGCCGCCAAGACACTGGGGCTGACAATCGCCTCACATCTGCCGGGCGAGGGCCCGCGCGCTTGGGCGGGTGGCATTTGTAGCCGTTCACCGCGAAGAGGCCTCTCTGAGAGCACTTAGGCAGGGCTACGTGGGACTGTCAGGAGGTGTATACGAGTGTATTTGCGGGATAAGGGCAAGCCTACTCCTTAGATTGCAACTTCGATGACTCTAGAGCTGAAGATGGAGTTCTGAGTCTGAAGTGTTGCGCCCTCAGAGCACGCCTTCCACATCCCCTTGTTGCTGAACCGTCTAAAGGCCCTCCGAAGCGCGGCCCAGGCACCGACGTTTGGCTTCACTGTGGAGGCTGCCTTGCCTCTAAGCCAGTCCTGGACATCAGCAGTCTGAAGAAAGGTTGAACAAAGGTTCCTCCTTCTTTGGGGACGAAAAAGGGCGCTATCGATCACGCTCGGACAAGCCAGGTGAGGCAAAGTTACCAGCAGAGGGATGCTGTTTTGGCGGTGGTCTTTCCCAGAGCAAATTTTCTGAGGTGTGGCTTGCGGCCGAGCTCGCGGCCGGATCCATGATGATCGTAGAGTTGCGGCCTGTTGATGTGATGGGGTTGCTGATCCTCCTTGGCAACGCACGTGGGTACTGAGAGGAGGCAGGGTCCTATTGCGTCCTACATTCAAACCCTCCAAAGGCCCTACTGTCAGTCGCGTGGCCGGAGGTTGTAGGACATCACCACAAGCCGCGCAAAGGCGAGCGAATGCGAACGGCAAGCTTGCCAGGACCGGGCCCCTAGCTTGTCCCAGCTTGTCTGTGCAAACAGCTGCAGGTAGACGAAAATACACTTGACTGGATATCAAGGCCGCTCCAGGTGCGGCAAGTCAGCATTCCCCGAGGGGTTGGTCCAACACTTCTGCAAGTGCGCTCGTATGAAAGCTTGGTCTCGAAGTGACTCACGAAGTGACTCGCGAAGTGACTCAAGGTCCGCCTCGTGCCGAAGAGGAGGGCAAGGATGGCTGGCGCTCCTGATCTTGCAGTCAGACGCTTCTGCAACCACGCTCCTAGACGTTCTACTCAGGAGATGACTGCCAGCTCCTGGAATGCTTGCAATGTCGTGGTTTTTCCACTGCCCGATGGCCCGAAGACGATGCCCAGACCCGGCGTGTCGTCTTCCTGGCAGTCGCGAAGTCCCCCCTTGTGTCCACACACAGCTGACAAGATGCCGCTGGGTAGCCAGAAGCCACCGAGGCAGCATCCTTGGCTTCGTGATCTGAGCCTTCCCTCATACAGACTGTTGACTGAGAATCTCTGACATACTCTCCGCCGCGCTGCCCAGGCCATGCCAAGATCTGCAAGCGTTTTCTCATCTCTTCCTTCACCTCTTATAGATGCCTTGCCAAACCGCTTTCTTGCCGCGGCTCGGGAGCCGGACGGTCTGCTGCTGCGCGCGAAAGTCGAAGCGCTCTTCCACAAAAGCCAGCCTGGTGAAAGCTGGAGGGCAAAGCGATGCAAAGCGTTCCCAGGGCTTTGTTTGGCGGATTCTGTGCTTTCCCACCTCGGGTGTTGCTTCACGTGGCAGCTTCTCACCAGGCGGTCGCAAGGTGTTCCCACGAAGCCGCGCAGGCCCCAGGCCTCTCGATCTTCTGGAGCGGATCCCAAACCTTAAAGGCTGCTGAGGGATGCTAGCCCCCTCAAAGACGCTCCAGCGCTGTCCGCTGCATTCGCTCTTGTGCGTTCCCGGTCGCAGAAGTCCAGGTTTGGCCGCCTGGAAACTCATGGAGCCACAAAGCCAAGGCAAAGCAGCCAGCCAAGCACATCAACTCTTCCTACTCATGGGCTCTGAGATGCAGTGTGCGGCACCAGCTTTCTCTGGCAGTGTTGAGGATCACCTCCTGGCCGGGGAGCCAGACCCAATCCGGAGCGAGCCAGGGAACCAAGCCCACATCCTTGGCCACGCGCGATGCGTGATGACTAGAGACAGCGACCAGCTTCATGCTTCCACATGCTTCCCAGGCGCACATGCGGCCACCACAATCTTCCGCAGACCCTGCTGAAGACCAAGGATTCGCGCATGACACCCAAGTTTGCACAAGGGGAGCTCCAAAAACCTGTCAGTGAGGGCACCTGGCCACGCACGAAGCGGGACAGCGCCGCAGCGGCCGCCTGACCTTGGCCCTGGGCTGTGAACGCGCCGAAGTCGTCCAGCAGAGCACCATCCTGGCATAGGGATGAAACGTGGATGAAGTGGAGTGGTATTGTTCAAGGTCTTTCCGGGCTGCTACTGTACCAGGTCTTGGGGTCTGGGTTTCTCGCTGCCATATCCCAATCCACGCAAACCCGACCGGAGTCGACCACTTGAGCATGGTTTTGCAGCTTCTTTGGGCATGCATCAAAAAACACTCTTCCTCGGAGCACCCTGGTGCCCGGTCGTATGACTCCGTCAACTAAGTAGATACCAAGTAGATCTAAGTAGGTTTTGCTTCGCTTCGGAAGTGCTCGCGAATCGTTTTCGATCACGAAGTGCCATGTCGCGCTGGACACGTGATCACAAACTCAAACACCTGTACAGCACACGTAAACGTCACCACTGCATGCCGAACTAAAGTGCGGACTGCCTGCAGAGCTGCGGCACAGTCCGCGCGGTTCTGCTCTCCGTGCGACAGAGTCCAGAAGGGACGGCACCTGCGACAGTGTGTCGACAGCAGGAAACGACGACCACGCCACGCATCACTCACATCTTGACATCCTGAATGCGGTCGCATGGAGGCTTGCCACTCCTGCCCTGGCTACTCAAGCCTCAAGGCCCCCTCATGATGGGCTAGAGTGCCCACATGTTACCAACAGCCAGGGCCAAGATGTTTAGATGTGTTTAATCGTGCTTGGCCAGGGGGCACCAGGCAGGCACAGACGAGAGGCCCGCGGCCGCAAGGCGGCTCACAGCTGCCTCGGCCGAATCGAAGCGCGGGTCCGCCACCGGTGAATGCGCGGGGTCTCCTCAGGATCTTCTGCCGATCCCGTGAGTCAAAGGTCGCCGAATGTGTCCCAGTGCGGGTGTGTGAGCGCGTGTACATGATTGCGCATATACAGACGCACATGCACTCAAGCCAGTCCACAGGTAAGTGCGTGGCAGGGGTGAAACCAGTGCTGCATGCGCTCATGCGTAGTTGATCATGGCGTGTGTGCACATGTGTGAGTGTGTGTCCACAGCATAAGTGGCTCTTGCTGAGCGTGTCGTGCAATTACCTCAGCCAACCTTCCTACTGCTGCACTTCCATGATATTGGTGCCAGGAAGCTTATTGAAGAGCCGTGGGCCGATCCCTGGGCCGCTCCCAAGCATCGCTGGTGGCGCAGTGCGGTGAGGCTTCTGGTCTTTCCCCCGGCCGTGGGCGCAAGGACGAGGCCCAAGACGAAGTCCTCCCCAGGAGTCTTCGCAACATCCACACAAGAACAAAGGCAAAATGTACATTAGATGATATTCCCTGCCGGTCCTGGGGGATGCTAGCGGGAACCTCTTCACCCAAAGCCATGAGCTGTTTGCCCTGCGTCCTGGGCCTTGCTGTGCATGCTTAGGAGTGTCAGGAACGGACTCGTAGCTGCAAGCAACTACAGGGCCACGCACATCTTGAGCCGCGAGCAAGCCGCGTGGAAACACATCCTTTCCAGCGTGTTGCGCACCTACTTCTGAGGGTGACGGAACACTAGGGCCTGGGGACCGAAGCAATGCGCAGTGCAGACGCAGCGACGCGGATTTCTGCTTTTTCTAGATCTTCGGATGAAGAGGCGACGGGAGACGCTCTGAAGGCTGCTCTTGGGATTTCCCGGGGTCTCGGCTCAAATGCGAAGGTCTCATCGGTCAGACTTCGAGCTCGTCCTCCTCGATCGTGTTCAAGAGCCTTCGCACACCATCGTCATCCTCCCCTGCCTTTACGGGGCATGACACGGAATCATCACTCAGGTCGCCTCGCTCCTGTGTATCGGTCTGATCACGCAAGCATGCCGGGTTGTCAACCAGTGCTTGCAGAGCAGAGCAGCTCCTCTTGTTCCGGATCTTGTTCAGGATGCTTGTTATCACCATTCCTGCGCTGACTGCGGCAGGTGTTGCCGTCCCCATGGATGCCACTGTGGACGCAGCAGCAAAGCTTGCACCCACAGCTGTGGTGAAAAAGGTGAGGTAACGATTCTGCCTGTTGAGCTTCAGCTGGCATTGAATCAGGTTTACCTCGTCACCTCGCTTTTCTTGCAGTGCCCTTTCGAGCTTTGCCTTTAGCTCTCTTCGTTCCTGTACATTCAGCGCCAGACCAGTAGCAGTCAAGGCCAAGCCAACAGGGGTCCCTCCGGCTGCATCTTTGGCCAGGGCCGCGGTGTTCTCAGCGATCCAAGTCAGGGAATCGGCACTGGCAGAGATGGTGTTGGCAGTGCCTCGTCCAAGCCCAACCCAAAACATGGCCTGTGAGCAGTGCTTCCTGATCTTCATAGTGACAGAGACCTTCTTCGTCTGTGTTGAAATCTTGGGTTGAGGCCCTTCTGAAAGTGGGCACGAGTTCGGCCGCAGATCCCGGAGCTCTGCCTTCTCTGCATCCGAGAGAAGGTCCCGGGGCCAGGCGCCCAGAAGGCGTTGCAGCTCCTCATCGTTTGGCCCGAGGCTTACAGCCCCGCGACTGATTCCAGGATCAATGTCCAGGGATTCGTGGAATTCGCTTGGGCGAGCTCCCCAGGCCAGAGGCAGGCAAAGGAGCACCCCAAAGCTGGCCATGCCAGTGGCCATTGCAGATGAATCTAGGCCAGACAACTTGAGACACTTAATGGCTTAATACACCTGAATACCTGGCATTCGCGTGCTGCTCAAGTGCACAAGTTATCGGCAGGGACACAAGGGCCATGGGACCAAATCAACACTCGGCGCTTCTTTTGCGGCGCGCTTTCCCACTCCGCTTTGCTTCCAGATCTTCGCAAGGCCTGAATGAAGCAGGAACGGGAGACGCTCTTGATTGCTCGGGGTCTCGGCTCAGATGCGGAGGTCTCATCGGTCAGACTTCGCGCTCGTCCTCCTCCATCGTGTTCAACCGAGGCTTTCAGCCCCACGATTTGTACTAGGATCAATGTCCAGGGATCTTGGCGCATTGGGGTTCTGCCTTCTTCCGGGGCATATTCTGCAGAGCCATGCCACCATAGTGTCGCGCCATTTTGGGGGCGCCTTCGTCCTTCATCAAGGCTTCGAAGACCTCCACGCCCCCTGCGTCTGCAATGGCCGCCTTCCTCTGCTTGTCGTCCAAGGACAACTCCCACAAAGCGTGTGCTGCGTTCGCCTTGGCATTTGGACATCCATCCCTGACCAGATCGAGCAGTGGCGCAATGGCGCCGGCATTCGCCATAGTCTCCTTGTTCTCAGGGTTTTCGCACGCCAAGTGTGCTAGAGCAGCTGACGCCTTCGACTTGGCACCATCATTGCAATCACTGGTCAGCAAGGCCACCAGTGGCGGGATGCCTCCGGCATTTACGATCACTAAACGGTTCTGGTAGTGCTTGCTGAGGTTTCTCAAAGCATCTGCAGCCGTCTCCTTCTCGGAAGCGGTGGCATCTGGTCGCCTCAGCACGCTGACGTACTCCGGTATCTTCTTTGCTGACGCCGCTGATCCTACACAGCCCATGGCTTGAGCCAAGCTGCTGACCTCCCGCGTTTCACACGCGCCGAATTCTACATCTGCGCAACCGGCAACCCCCAAGGTCGGCGGGATTGGCTTGCATGGACGTTCCTTTCCCTGGGCGATCCTCCAAAATCATCACCCTCCTCCTCATGATGATGATCTTCATCAACAACTCACATCATCCATCACCACACCTTGCAGTCACAGACCTCCCCAGTCAACCACCAGGCCGCCAGGCCTGCAGCGGCCTAGCACGTGCTTCGGGGATGTCCTGGTACGGGGAGACCGGGGGGGGGGGGGGGGGGCCTCCGGTCAGATCCACTCGCAAAACAAGCTGCCTGGACACGTAGCCGCCTGAAAAGTCGGCAATGGAGTGTAGACATGGGTAATGGGTTTTTTGAATGTACCTCGTACCTACAAACCGCGCACCTGAATGCATCTCTATACCAAACCAAGAAGTGTCCTTCATCATGCAACCTACGAAGGCATACATGATGGATCATAATACTCGGACCGAATCCATGCTGGGCGCAGTCGCAGCGGCGCGCTTTTCCACTTTCTTCCAGAGATCTTCGCAAGGCCCGAATGAAGAGGCAACGGGAGACGCTCTTGAGGCTGTTCTTGGGGTTGCACGGGGACTCGGCTCAGATGCAAAGGTCTCATCGGTCAGACTTCGAGCTCGTCCCCCTCGATCGTGTTCAACAACCTTCGCACAGCATCGTCATCCTCCCCTGCCTTTGCGGGGCATGACACGGAATCATCACTCAGGTCGCCTTGCTTCTGTGGAGATTTTGCCGAGCAGTGGCAGGCAAAGGGCTGCCCAAAGCTGGCCACGGCAGTGGCCATTGCGAGTGGGCGTGGCAGCGCATGGCTCTGGGGGTCGAAATCTGAAGTCCTGCGAAGTTCTCTCAATCCTCGAGGCGCAGGTTCCGGTAGATGTCCCGGAACTGAGCAGGAGCAAAGGCTGCGCATCAGCCAAAGAGTGGCAAGACAGCCCTCATAGCCTCCTTCAGCTCACTCTCGCTGAACGCCTGTTTCGCATCATAGTAACGTGCAGTGCATGAGGAGAGAACTATACTGCAGATATCCTGCCCACATGACTCATATTAGGGCCTCGTGCCTAGGGCGGTCTATGTGTCGTCCGGCCTCTTGCTGCACCGTCTGCGAGCGCCTGACCATGAAGGGCTTAGGGTTTAGGGTTAGGTCCGGGCGTACCCTTCAAACCCTGCTGCAGGCTGCAGGCGGCTACAGAAGCAAAAGGCCAAAGGCAAGGCTTCGCGATCGCCAGTCTCTCCTTTCTTTCGCCCGCAAAGACACCGCGGCAATGTTCCACACTGATGAAGCTGATGACTTTGGACAGTGGGAAGACGGCAGCCTGAGGATAAAGAACCACAGGCCGCAAATTTCGCAGTTGTCAGTCGGTCTTAGTTGGGTCTCCAAACGCAGAAGGTGCCCAATGCAAAGAAAGGGACGCTGGCATCTTCTGCGAGCGTGACCTTCGCCACGTTCGATGCGCCGACACGGTCTTCACAAAGACGCAGAACCTCTGCGAAAAAGCGGCCGTCGGCATCATCCATCCCATCAAAGCCATGCGCACCGCCAAGGAGCACAAACCTCGGCCACCGTGCGGCTTCAGGCTTCAGGATACTTCTCTCTTCTCTCATAGCTCATCCAAAGAATCCAGAGAAAAGAGGAGCCTCTAAGGCTCTAAGGGACTCTGAAAGCTGCTGGGTGGCAGCTTCTCGCGTCCTGCCGCCCAGCTGGATGCCAGCAGCTCGTTGTATGTCCGGGTGGCACCAGCATCAAAGGCCAGGACGCCAGCCTTGCGCAACAGGTGACAGCCCCTTTTGAGTTCGCATGAGAGCACTTGAAACATGGAGGCTCTGGGCAGAAAACCCTGGGCCTTCTCCGGCGCATGATCGAAGAGCTCACCCAGGCTTTCCAGGAGCATACCTTCTGCAGCTTGCCCCACATTTTCATGACCATCAACGGCACACAGCCGGGGGGCTCGCCTTTTGCCTGCGCCTGATTGCGCGGCCGGCGCTGTGCGAGCTGCCATCGGAGGCCCTCCGCATCCTTCCAAAAGCGCACGCTCACACCCCGGACTTGCCTCAAAAAGTAGCGAAACATAGCGAGACTAAAGGCCCTGCTTCCACCCTGCCCTAGACAGGCCATGAAATGCTCTGCGAGCGTTTCCTTGCTGCTATCCTGCTGTGAGCATTTCCTTGCTGTCACTGCTGTGGGAATTTCCTCACTATCTTCCTCCTGCGAGCATTTCCTTGCTGTCACTGCTGTGGGCATTTCCTCACTATCTTCCTCCTGCGAGCACATCCTTGCTGTCACTGCTGTGGGCATTTCCTCACTATCTTCCTGCTGTGCGCAATTCCTTGCTGTCACTGCTATGGGCATTTCCTTGCTATCTTCCTGCTGTGCGCATTTCCTTGCTGTCATCCTGGTGTAGGCATTTCTTGTTTCCTGCTGTGAGAATTTCCTTGCTGTCACTGCAAGCAAAAAACCGGGCGACACATTTGGTAAAGTGGTCATTCGGGGTGGCCGAAACCGGGCGACACATTTGGTAAAGTGGCCAAAAGGAACATATTTGACGTGGCCAAAACCGCGCGACACATTTGTTAAAGTCGTCATTCGGGGTGGCCAAAAACAGCGACACCTTTAGTCAAGTGGTCATTCGGGGTAGCCCAAACCGGGCGACACAGTTGGTAAAGTAGTCATTCGGGGTGCCCAAAACCGGGCGACACATTTAGTAAAGTGGTCATTCGGGGTGGCCAAAACCGGGCGACACATTTAGTAAAGTGGTCATTCGGGGTGGCCAAAACCGGGCGACACATTTAGTAAAGTGGTCATTCGGGGTGGCCAAAACCAGGCGACCCATTTGGTAAAGTGGCCAAAACCGGGAGACACGTTTGGTAAAGTGGCTATTCGGGGTGGCCCAAACCGGGCGACACATTTGGTAAAGTGGTCATTCAGGGTGGCCAAAACCGGGCGACACATTTAGCAAGGGTCTCAAGGTGTGACAGGGAGAGAGCTTCCTTCATGAGATGTCTTCAGGAGCCCTGTTGTTACACCTTAGAAACAAGACCAGGAATTCCAAGAGAAGTGAATGCATGTAATAAAGTTAGAAGGAATGAACGCAGAGAACGACGCATGAACTTTATGAAAGGCAAGAACGAAGTGGAAACAAGGAAATAATAATATAGTACAAGGGCCCTAATAAAGAACTATGAAGGGCCCATAATATTATTCTCTTCACATGTCATGCATTTATTACCATTAGAATTACTACGAAGAAGAGAAGACAACTAACACCCTTCTTTCCCCACAGTTGTTGCTCTCTTTTGCCCATTTCATTCTCATCATAATATTTGGGCGGCCAAAAGCGGGCGACACATTAAGTAAAGTAGGCGTTCGGGGTGGCCCAAACCGGGCGACAGATTTCGTAAGGTCGTCACTCGGGGTGGGCGACACTTTTTGTAAAGTTGTCAAACGGGGTGGCAAAAACCGAGCGACACATTTTGTAGAGTAGTCATTCAGGGCGGCGAAAACCGGGCGACACATTTAATAAAGTCTGTCTTGCCAGGCAGCTGCCGATATACCGTATTGGTCAAGCCCTAAGTGAGTACTAGGTGCTCTTGCGCCAATGGTATCTCTACATGCTTCAATATGATCCGCAACAATCTCAGCGCAGTCATATTCTTCCCCGTGCGAAGCGACGCATGCTCATATATTGCCAAAGGGATCTTGGACTCCAAGGACGGCGTCTTTGTTGCCGATTTGAGCGCGTTGAAAAGCTGGTATTCTTCCACTGCACGTCGACGACACGGCAAGGGTTGATCAAGCTCCTCGTCAGTCATGTTCCTCACCGCCAGAACCTGGTCGTACCCATGTTCGCCGTCCATACAGCCATCGCAAGTTCCGTCAGCCAGATGGGGATCCTGGTGGCCTCGAGCTCTCTCTGGATGTTGATCTGGCCGCACTCGCCTATCCCTCGAGTATCCTTAACGGGGCCGAAGCCGACCGGTCCTGCAATATTTCAGAATTGCCATATCCTCCAGGGGCACCTCTGGCTTGGGTAAGCCAGTACCAGCCCATCCAGAACCAGAACTGGGCAGTCCCATACAAACGAGGCGATTGGCACTGGTTAAACTTCTCCCTGAACGGGTCTCGAGCATATTCCGCATGTCCTAGTCCTGATATCAGGGTCATCCAATCCCGATGGCCCGAATGACCACTTACTAAATGTGTCCCGAATGAAATGCGTCGCCCGGTTTTGCCCACCCTGTCGCCCGGTTTGGGCCACCCCGAATGACCATTTTTCCAAATGTGTCGCCCGGTTTTGGCCACCCCGAATGACCACTTTACTGAATGTGTCGCCCGGTTGTGGCCACCCCGAATGACTACTTTACCACATGCGTCGCCCGGCTTTGGCCACCCCGAAAGACCACTTTACCAAATGTGTCGCCCGGTTTTGGCTACCCCGAATGACCACTTTCCCACAGGTGTCGCCCCACTTTACCGAATGTGTCGCCCGGTTTGGCCACCCCGAATGACCACTTTACCAAATGTGTCGCCCGGTGTTGGCCACCCCGAATGACCTTTTCTAAAATTGTGGCCCAATTTTGGCCACCCCGAATGACCGCTTTGCAATATGCGACGCCCGGTTTTGGCCACCCCGAATGACCGCTTTACCAAATGTGTCGCCCGCTTTTGGCCACCCCGAATGACCACTTTACTGGATATGTTGCCCGGTTTGCCACTTTTTCGGCCCGGTTTTGGACCACCTTACTCAATGTGTCGCCCGGTTTTGGCCCCGAATGGCCGCTTTTCCAAATGCGTCGCCCGGTTTTGGCCACCCCGAATGACCACTTGACTAAATGCGTCGGCCGGTTTTGGCCACCCCGGATAACCACTTTACGAAATGTGTCGCCCGGTGTTGGCCACCCCGAATGACCACTTTGCTAAATGATGTGTCGCCCGGTTCTGGCCACCCCGAATGACTACTTTACCAAATGTGTCGCCCGGTTTTTGCCGCCCCGAATGACTGCTTTACTATAGATGTGTCGCCCGGTTTTGGCCACCCCGAATGGCCACTCTACCGAATGTGTCGCCCGGTTCTGGCCACCCCGAATGACCATTTTACCAAATGTGTCGCTCAGTTTTGGCCACCCCGAATGACCACTTGACCAAATGTGTCGCCCGGTTTGGCCACCCCGAATGAATGTGCCGTTTTGGCCATATCACTATCTTCCGACTGTGAGCATTTCCTTGCTGTCATACTGCTGTGGGCATTTCCTCGCAATCTTCCTACTGTGAGCATGTCCTTGCTGTCATACTGGTGTGTGCATTTCCTTGCTATCTTCATGCTGTGGGCATTTCCTCGCCTTCCTGCCGGTGAGCAGTTCCTTGCTGTCACTGCTGTGGGCATTTCCTCACTATCTTCCTGCTGTGGGCATTTCCTTGCTGTCATCCTGCTGTGAGCATTTCTTTGCTGTCAAGCTGCTGTGAGCAGTTCCTTGCTATCTTCTGCTGTGGGCATTTCCTTGCTGTCCTGCTGTGAGCATTTCCTTGCTGTCCTGCTGTGGGCCAATCTTTTTGTTCTGATCAATTCTGCAAATGAACGCCGATATCTTGATGAGGGCTTCAAGCACAAAACGGTCAGAATCGAAACCGCTGTCTTGTGCACTGTGTGTTGCGGACTCTGTTGCTCCATGCCCTACCCACGAACCAAAAATCAATCTGAGCATACCTGATAGCATCACACGGAGGGCCAGCCTCGCTTGAGGCGTCAGATGCAACGTTTTGCATATTGAACTTGTATGTGATAGGCTCTTCCTTCCTTTCCTTTCTTTTCCTTTCTTTTCCTTTCCTTTCCTTGCCTTCCTTTCCCTTCCTTTCCTTTCCTTTCCTTCGCTTCCCTTTCCTTTGTTTCCCTTTCCTTTCCTTCGTCCTTTCCTGCCTTCCTTGCCTTCCTTCCTTCCTTCTTTCTTTCTTTTTTTCTTTCTTTATGTCTTTCTCTCTCTTCTCTCTCTCTCTCTCTCTCCCCCACGCTCTCTCTTCTCTCTCTCTCTCCCTCTCTCTCTCTCTCGCTCTCTCGCGCTCTCGCTCGCTCTCGCTCGCTCTCCCTCCGTGTACCGTTTTTGCACCTCCTGCCTGGCCACGCTGCCTCCACAGCGACTCCTCAAAGGCTTTCAAGGTGGCCGGTTGGTAGAAAGGGCGCCCGTCTTTGCCCTGGCCCAGTGCCGTCATCACCAGCGGCTGCAAGGCCCCTGTGGCATGGAGGGCATCGGGGCCCACAAAAACTGAGGCGGCCACATTTCCTCAGCACAAGGTGGACAGTCCCGATGCCCCCCTTTTTTTCGTTGGGGGAGCAATCTAAGTGCAGCTTCTGTATGACAAGGCAGGACTTCTCATTTGCCAACGGATCTTGCAAGCCACAGCAACCCGAGTGAGCGCAGCCATGCTTCGCAGCCACTGCCCATCCATCATGAAGCACTGCAGCAGCCCAAGCCTCACGCATCCCTGGACAAGTGAAGGAAGCCCGTGAATCCAATGAAGCACCAATCAGATCGAGGCGCAAAAGCGTGTCCTTGGATCTGCGGCTTCACGTCACTTTCCAGCACTTTTCAACCATTTCCTACCCTGTTCCGCTACTGTGCCACTTGGGCTACAGTTGTGGCTTGTGGGCTCTGCGCCCATCTTTACTCCAAATGCCTGATTAAGTTACTACGTTCCGCGTTTTGCCGGGCGGCCCAGCGCCGGTGTTTGCTGCCGGCTGCCAGCGACCAGCCCTCCAAACCCTGCTCATCGCACTGCACGATGCAGTAGTGCAGGGGCTGCCCGGAAGTCGCGAGGCCTCAACCACAACCCTCCCAAACGAAACTGTACCCAACCCCCCCCCCCCTCCCAAAAAAAGCCAAAGCTTCTTGTGCCATCCCCTGCACCTGCCTTCCTCCGAGCCCAGCGTTGGGTCTGGAGAGGGGCCCCAGAAACGCCCCGGCATTTCAAGGCGCAGCGCCCGCAGCTGCTGCTCGGCGGCCCTAAACGAGGGGGTGGGGAAACGGGGCGCGCAGACGCAAAGCTTCACAGATGTTCACTGGTGTGCACTGGTTCATGGGCAGCTGACACGGTTGGAGCACTTCAACTTAGAGCTGCTGAAGCTCCCAGCACTTGAGGCTGGCCCACTTTGGGTCTGAACTAGGCCGAGCATCTCCAGTGCACGCGTGATCGATCGGTAGGTCACGTCATCCTAGCCAGCACCACATGTAAACCCTCTGCTTGGCGCCGTGCATGATGATCATATGAGGACACGTGCACTGCAGAACCATAAACCAGGCGGCTGGCTGCAGCTTGGCTTGGCCCAAGGCCTCATGAGCGGGATGTAATAATTACGCGGACCAGAGTCGGCCCCTCGACCCTCTAAGGCCCTAAGGCCCTAAGGGTCGGAGCTGCGAAAAACCCATAGCACGGCCTTCTTAGAGGGTTCTAAGGTAAGTCGAGTTGCTTTCATCAGCTGAAGCGACCATTGCCAGCGGCCTGCGACCTCGCAGGCGGCAAGGGCCTCAACACCAAGACGAGAAAGACTCCGAAAGACTCCCAACGACTCGCCATGTTCAGGTTGTTTCGTGTGCGCTGTGCAGCCGCTGCACTGCATGAAGCCCTTTGCTTGCTTTTTGCATGAGGGGTGGGAGGGTCGGGGGCAGCCTCTTCCTGGCAGAAACCGTTTGGGTCTTGGGCTCCAACCGCATTGAATGCGACGATGTCAGGAGCGACTTTGTCTCCCACCATATCCCAAATAAGCCTCAAAGAGTCCTGCCACAAACCTCAGTGCCCGGGGGTTTCCCCTTAGACGTGAAGGCTTGGAGAGATCTGGACCAGCTGGATGAGCATCGAAAGGATGTATAGGGATGCGTGCAAGGCTCCCGCGCGGCTGGAAGCCGTCAGGGCATTGGTGTAGGAGAACAAATCGCCAAGTACCTCCCGGCCTCCTGAGAAAAAATGGGGACAAAGCAGCACATGCCGCAACATGATCCCGGACTAGTGAGCAGGGATAGGCAAGGTGAGCTCGTTGGAGATAAGCGGCTCATCTGTCGCAGCAATTCGAGCGTCTGCTGCCAGTTCTCCCTGCTTAAGCAGGCATTCATGGCATTGTTGTAGGCAACTGGCTTCGCTGCCAGACTACCTGCAGGCACCACCGGTGGAACGCCACAGCTGCAAGACTACAGTATTACGTCCAAGCTGCGGGCATGCATCTCTGACAAGACGTCACACGCCCTCTGCCAGTAGTTCTTGCGGGAAAAAGCAATGACCACACTGGTGTAGTCATGGGCCTGACAAGCGACAAACGGCAATGAACACAGAAACCATCAAAGGGATCCCAAGCGCGCTGTCTGCAGCCAGGGCGCGCTGGAAAGGCAGTCCCTTTCCCGAAGCCTTGCCCCCAACATGCAAAGATTGGCGGGATTGTCAACATGAGTTGTGACAATGGTTGTGCGAATTCGACAAACCTTTGCGGCACTCTGTGCGGTAATTGGCCCAAGGTCCAAGATGCCGCTGCACTGCTTGCAGGATACCTCCTTCGGTCCTGGAAGCGCTTTCTCGAAACCAAAGCAACAAAACTGGTTGACTGCCGGCACCGGCGACTTTCGTAGTGCTGCGACATACTGCGAGCAAGCGTCTCCTCCCGCAGCATTTCGCTCATCAACGCCCGCTGCTGCGGGTCTGACTTGCGGAAGCCTCCACTCTTTGGCCGCCCGAATGCCCGAAATGCGGCACGCAACAGACCTTGTGGCTACGTGCTGAGCCGCCCACGCTTGTTGGGGGAATGGGGCCGGCGGGCGGCATGCCTTGTCCACATGCAACAGCGCCCATGTGCTCATCGGGGGCGCGAGTCCCCCGCTTTGTCCCAAGCCCCGAACCTCTGACAGCGCCACGCACCAGCCCGTGCAGATGCCTTGGAGCTGCAGGGAACGCAACATGGGCCCCGCCAACGAAAGCTAGGGCGGAAGGGTGGTGCGGCCCACACATGGAAGAACAAACAGTGCCTGGACCAGAGGCTTTCCAAGGCTTCGGGCCTTAAGACGAGGGTGTTTACAAGAGACAGCCCGGAAACGTGTTGCACAAATGCCTTGAGAGAGATGGTGGTGGTTCAGCAGAGCTCCATGGCCCTCCGACCTCTTCTGGGCCTCTCTTGGGCTTCCCGAATTTTGGGGCCTCCCGGGCGGGGGGGGGGGGGGTCAAAAGAGAAGGGGATGTGAAGGGTGTTACCTGTGACAGGCGTTGTGGGGGATGTTGCTGGCGTATTTGTGCAGGGTGTGTTCGCTGATGTTGGTGTCAAAGCCTTCATTTTGGGGAATGGCATAGCGCAGATGGAGAGGAACGATCTCTTGCTGGGCTAGATTTCCATGACAACTGCTCCAATGCTGCCGGGGCTCACGAGCCCTGCCGTTCACATGGTCGGCCAGTACGAAAGCTCCGCCGGAGGGCGAAGTGCGACAGGCATGGATAGCATCGACTTGAACCAGGGACGTTCGCCCGGCCACTTCGGGCATGTCTATTCGCTGTCTCGAGCCCCTCGTAGCCACGGCATAGTCAAAGCAGATCGCAACACTTTGCCCATCACACCGCCCTCCCTGCCTTGGCCGGAGCTCATCAGAACTGGGTGCAGCCTGAGGTTTTCTGCTGACAGGAATCCAGACTTTAGGGCGGCGGCTGAGGTCCATGCGGGTTTCCGGGCCATGGCAGCAGTGTCCTCCGTGCCCTCGCGCGCCTGCCACTGTCCCACTTTCTCCACACATGGCTGCAGTTGCAGGACTCCAGCAGCGGAGACAGCCACACATCTTGAAGCTCCTGGTAGCTGCGGTATCGCCGACAGCAAAAACAGGCACGCCACGCTGCCATTGCTCTCAGGGCGCTTCTTCCAAGTCTCTCAAAAAAGTCCCCCCAGGTCCAGATTTTGGGGTTGCTGGGTAGCGGTGCTCTTCGGCTGCGTTTGGTATGCCCATGTTTGCTGATGCACAACTTGCACTGGCCCTGTTTACCTGTTTGGAGCGGCCTGGACATCGGCCAACCATGAGTCTAGGCTCGAAGTTGTCATCGTGCTTAAAGCTCCGGCCAAGCTCCTCGCAGCAAAAGCAGCCTTATCTGCCTGTCGGCGTCTTTTGCTCATGCGGAGGCGTCGGAGCCATCTCCCGCGGTTGCGCCGTAGGCATCCTGACGCCAAACCCAAGGATAAACCTTATGAATGGATAAGCTTGAAGAATTTTGGCTTGAAAAGTTGTGAAGCGCTGCTTTGCCACTCATGGTTGTCTCCTCGGCAAAGCTTCGCAGCTTCTGTGCTTCACGGCGTTCGGCAGCTGTCTGGACCTCAGGATTCGCTCTGAGGGCCGGTGCCACGCAGAAATGGCCCTAAGCTTTTGGGAGCCTGTCCCGGTAGGTGCCCCCTGCACAACCAGGGGCCAAACACCTGCGCCCTGCAAGCGGACGTCCTGTGCACCATAGCCTCCTGGCACAACTGCTCAGAAGTCACGTTCACCGAACTCCGAGCCGCACCAGCCTCCAGCTGAGCTGTGTCCTAGAGCCTCCGGGTCGCTCACTAACTGAATTCATCTTGGGGCACACGTCGACTTGCAGGATGCTCGGAGCCTCCAAGGTCTCGAGGTCCTCGCCCGTGGAGATGGCCATCCCCAGCAGCCAGGGCGGAATCTGTGCGCGACAGGAACACCGCAGGGGCGCGCGCTTTTCTTGGAGATCACTTGCGCTGGAAGCCTTTGCACCCGCTTCTGCCAGGCACTTGACGAGGTCCTTGCTCAGTCCTGGACCGCCACGCCCAAAGCCAGAAACCTTCTTGGAGCCCCTTTCCAAACTGATCTGGGGCTTTGGCCCTTTGCCCGAGCATTTGCAAACCCGATGGAGAGGCCGTTCCTCGTACACACGCTCTCTTCTCCTCTTCCTCCTCCTCCTCGTCCTAACATTCCTCTTCTTGTTCCTGCACGCTTACAGCGACATCGCGAGAGAAACCCAACATTTCGCGCAAACCCGACAACAAGTGCGCCAGCAGAATTTGGATGAACCCCTGGATCCAGGCGATGCACCGGCCCAAGCGGCCCGTCCGGCCTGACCGGTGCCTCATGGCTGCTGTCACGTCAAGGCAATGCGGCAAGGCTTCACTTTTTTCATCCCCCGTCCCACTCAGTTAGTGCTCCAGTCCTTAAGGTCATACTCTTAATTGCGAGCAAAATGTGGCTGTGCACTGTGCAGCTACGGATGCTGGGCGCCCTGGCACAAAGTCGTCGATCCTGCCGGGCCAGGCCGGGGCATGCTGCAGCAGGAATCAGCACGAATCAGCACGGGACGTCATGATTCGCATGTTCATCCACACATGCCTTCGCGGCAAGTCGTAGTGCACCACGCACGTGATGTCTGGAATGTCCAGACCACGGGCAGCGACATCTGTGGCCACCAGAACGGCCGCAGAGTCCCTTGCCAAAACGTCAGAGAATACCCGAATCCTCTTCCAGAACCCGTTCCGAACCTGGAGTTTGAGATGTGGCCCTCCGCGTGGCGGCGGAAGAGCTGCAGCGCCTTCTCGCGGGCGTCCTCCGACTCTTCACATATCTTCACGTCATATCACAGCTGCAGTCTACACACCCGGTCGATATATTGTCTGGTAGAGGAGCTCAATGTTGCAAGCCACGCCTGCTTCTTGTCACCGTGTATGGAGAAGGCGCGAAATCTCCAAGCCCGAATCTTGTCTTCGATCAGCCGGACTGCGTCCTTGCACCCCATATCCCTCATGTCAATCACTGCTACACTGCTACTAGGTATGGGCCAAAGTCTATATGTATATATATATACAGATATATATATATATATAATCTTTTTGTGTATTTATGCATCTATATTTATATACATGTACATATACGTATGACATACATGCATACATGCATACCACACCACACCACACCAAACCACCCAACACAACACGACACAAGACAAGACAAGACAATACAACACAAGACAAGACAAATAACACGAGACAAGACAACACAACACAAGACAAGACAAGACAAGAAATGCGCAAGACAAGACAACGCGCAAGACAAGACAAAACAAGACAAGACACGACACTCACGACAAGACAAGACAAGACACATATATTACATTAATTACATAAATTACATGAATTACATTAATTACATTAATTACATTAATTACATGAATTACATGAATTACATGAATTACATGAATTACATTAATTACATTAACTACATTAACTACATTAACTACATTAACTACATTAATTACACTAATTACAGTAATTACATTAATTACATTAATTACATGAATTACATGAATTACATGAATTACATGAATTACATTAATTACATTAATTACATTAATTACATTAATTACATTAATTACATATAACTACATTAATTACATTACATTACATTACAATACATTTACATTTACATTTACATGTACATGTACATTTACATTACATTACATTAGTTTGCCTTACTTTGTATGACATTACATCACATCACATCACATTGCATTGCATTACATCACATTGCATTACATTACATCACATGCATACATACATACATACATACATTTCGCCACATTGAGTAAGGTTGTATTGAAGCAGGATCCATCTGTCACCTTGGTGTTTGCGAAGACCAAAACGCTGCATGGCCCCTTCACACTGCTCTCCAAAGCCAGGAGGGTGCCCAGGAGTGCCTTCAGAGCGGAAACTTTAATTTAAAGCTCCATACAGGAACTGTCAACGGGCGGTCACCTGATGCTTAGACGCTTTCCCCGGCCTGAGCCTTCCGCTGATCCTCCACCCAAACCAGACGCTGCTCGACCTTTGCCCAACACAGATGGGCCACATTTTGCCACATTCCAGTGCCACAGCAGAGCGCCCCACCGTTTGGGCAGCGCCACCTACGCGTCCCACAGCCACGAAGGTGTAGGCATCCAAGAAGTCTGCGGCCAAGTGCTGCCTCGAAAGTTGGACAGGCAGACATGGAATAAAATTGAGCTGCATGGCATTCTAGTCATTCCAGTTCCACTGGTGGCCCGGCACTCCGATCCCAAAGGTGGCACTGAACATGGCCGTCCTTGCTGATGCGCGGTGTCTTGTAGGATCTTGTGAATCTCACAGCTCGAGCAGATCGATGAGTCTACGGCTGGCGTCCGCCTCCTGTCCGTGGCATTCGCCTAAGAAGGCCGGCAATGCCGAGTTAACGCACGCAGCAAAGCATTGCACGTGCCTGGTAAGCAGAATGCGAATTTGGTCCTCGAAGCCTGCACTGATTGTCTCCCAGCTTTCAGCTTCACTGAGACAGACCGTTGCCTAGGTCGAGCATCTGGTCTGCCTGCTCGATCACGAGAAGAGCTACAGTACGGAAGCTGCACAGGCCATCGGCAAAACGTTCTCTCAGAGCACACTGGCCACAGGCAGTACAGCTGGCTGAAGTGGAAAAACCAAAACAAAAATGGCACACTGGGGAATTTTCATTGGCGGGCCCTCCGGACGATGTGCACAAAAGGCCACCGTCCCCCACTTGCGCGGCCTTCCCGCGAGAAAACTAAACTGCCTTCCCGGTGATTTCCCAATGGCGGGGCCCACTTGAGCAAGACATGCAAGAATGGCGCGGAAGAAAGGAAACACAAAAAATCTCTCATAGGGTTTGGGAAACCTTCGCATCATGCATCTGGTTCTCCCTCTCTCTCCACCCGTTTTGCTACTGTGCGTCATGCTTGTGATAGAAAGTCCGGGTCAAGGTTCTCAACCAAGCTTTGTTGCAACAACATGTGATAAGAGAAGAGCAACAGCGCAGCACTTGTTGTTTGGCACTGTTTATCGCGGTTCGCCTGCCCAAAACGTGCAATCTGCCGATGAAGAGCTATAGCTGTGTAGATGCTGTTCGCCCTCGCAGCTTGCTCCATGCTTCTGCATGTTCCGCTGCAGAGCCACTACTGTACACTCTAGGCCCGTTGGCCTCGTCGAGCACAGCAGCCTCCACGTCGCGAAGCACCACATCTCCTAAGGGCTTAAAGGGCCCCATTTGAGCACACGCCCCTCCTCCCAAAACCCCCTCCGCATCCCATCATGCCTCGATCACAGGCATCCTCCAAGCGCCCGGGCCTGGGGGACACTCGCATGGAACTTCATTGGACATGCATGCAGGTACATGCAGTTTCTTTGTTAGACCCTCTGAGTGCTGGGCGTGGCCACCAGAAGGTCAGCCCCTTGCGACAGCGCGTCGCGTGTGGATCGGTAGGGCCTCCAGGAGAGAAGTTCAGTATCGCAAAGGTCCCGCGTAAGAGCGGCCCGCGCTTGTTCTGGATCCGAGATGCACACACTCCCCCATAGATCACGGCAACTTTGATGGAGGTCCCTGCCACCAACCAGGATGCCTCGCGGATGCCATGCCCGCTTTGCATGGACAAAACAGCAAACAGCACCAGCGCACGGGGTCCTGTCGCCCTCTTCACCGATTCTAAGCGCACACGCGCGCGCGCCTCCCCGGCGATCTGCGCCGCGAGCTCCCGCGTGGGGGCCTTGAAAACTGCAAAAGCCCAAGTCTGGGGCGGAAGGCTTCCATCTTCCGGGGTGCTCACAATCACGACAGCGCCCGGCCGCTTGGGTCCTCGCTGCCGTCCTCAAGAAACTGAGCCAAGGCTCCGGCTGCGCTTTTGCCGTTTTGAGACGTTTTGAAAATTGGCTGATGCACACTGCCGTGCACGCCGGATGGCCCACTTTTTTCTGCGCTCGCCAATGGCGCCCTCCGCGGCAGCTCTTCAAAATGGTGGCCTGTGTCGAACAGCGCCCCGAAATAAAAGAGCCGGCTATTGTGAGGAAGGGCACAGCAGTGGCCGGGACGGCACTTGCGGCCGCTGCAACTTCACGGGACTTTCGGGCGCGCTGCAGGTCGAGCAGTTGTATGCAGAGCGTTTGGAAGGTGCGAGGTCTATGTACCGATTCGGACTCTAACTGGTGAGACTCTCATGGCTTCTGGGCTGATCGGAGTGCGTCTTTCCAAGCATATCACGGCTCGAGGCAGCTGGCGCTGGTCTCGTCTCACCAACATGAGAAACGGTCGAAAACGGTCGAAAACGGCCGAGCACGATTGCGAGTGCTGGAACGCATCGTTTCTGTATCCCAGAAACTTGCTAGTTGGTCCGTGGCACAGAACTCTTGGCACGTTTTGACACTTCAGGCCACTTTGGGACTTACAAGATTTTGTTCAGCCGGCGCATTAAAGTCGCGGGAACCAAGCTGCCCGAACCAACATCCATAAGCCTTGCAACGCAAGCCAAAATCGAGAGGTGTCCCATCGCTGCGGCCTCACCCTGAAGCATTCCCTGTCCGCACAGCGCTACTGACAAGATTGTGACGAAGATGTGACAATTGACTGCCAAGTTCGGTCGGAATGCCAAGGGCAAGCTTTCGTGCAGATTAATTTGGATGTCACCTTCAAACTTCAACCGGGACGCCTGGCATTTTTCGAGAGGAAAACAGGTGTTTTCTGCGGTCTGCACTCTCATGAGAAGCTTCACGGAGGCTCTTGAGTCTTGCTCGATGTAGGTTCGAGTTTGGGCTCTCAGGAGAGGCAAGCCGAGGCACACCACTGCGTGCACGAAATTCACAGCGGTCGTCAGCCGCGGTTGCATCAGAAATTGCGACCGTCCAGCCTGCCGCGACACATATCAGGCGCTGGGCCCATGGCCAACCCCTGCCGACAGCGCTCATATGTGCACCGGGGCCTATATCACACAACTTGTATGTACATAATTTTTAAGGTCTTCATCGAGATGGCTTCAAAGTGGACCGATTCATGCTCGGCTCCCATCTGAAGCTGCATCGGCCAGGCGGGAGAGTGTGCCTCGGCAAGGAAAGTCGTTGAGAAGGTCTCGTGTCGCTACGATCGGCCGGACTTCACAAGCATCAAGTGCGCGCCACCTGCGATCGCGTCAACTGCTCGTGCCAGAACAGTACGTGACATCCGTTCGTTGGGAAGATGAACGGCATCAGACGCCTGCGACAAAAAGAAAAAAAGCAGAAGCCCGACGCAATGGGACAACCTGTCCTGACTGAAGGCCATCTGCACCACATCACCTCGGTACAAACTGCTCCCAAGCAGGATCAACATGATGGCTCTCCCTTCTGCAAAAATGGACGATTAGAGAAGGCAAGGCGCATCCCAGCTCTGCCTCGAGCAAGGGCAGGATCGCAATTGTTCCTCAGCCAAATAGGACCCCTGGAAATCCCGAAGTCGGCTGCAATTGAGACTCCTCGGTGTCCTAGGTGGCAAGATGACCCCTACAAGGACTTCATGTCGCTCGCGCACGCATGCAAATCCAGCGACATGTGAACCCCTTCATCAGTAGCGCATCCTTTCGGGCAGTGCCTTTGATAAGGGGTTAGCGAACTCTACATCCGAAACCCTCAACCCTGAGGCACCCCCTTCCCGCACAGCCAGCACCGCCGACTCATCCATCTTCCAGGCCGTGGCCACTGCGGCACGAGCCGCCCGAAACACCTCTCATGGTTACCAATGAACCCCCCCCCCTCCAACCTTACTTTCACAGCGGGACCTTGCAGGCACACATCAAAGAAGAACGGCGTGTTTACTTGCAGGGGGTCTTTGCGGAGAGGGTGAGACAGGGGGTGCTCCTTTCCCCAAAGCCCCTCCATGTCGCTGGCCTCGGTTTCGAGTCCCTTAAGTCGAAGCTCACCTTAAGCCCCGAAACTCCAAGACCCTCTAAGACCCTACAAAACTCAGTTCGAAACCCTACAGAACCTCTCTCAAGACCCTGAAATCTTGTTTCAGGAAGCAGCAGTCCTACCAGGGCCCCCGGTTGGCCTTCGAAGTTGGCTTCGCCAGCCAAGACTCCTCGTTTGTTTTGGGGCCACTCGCACTTCACCATGTGAAAATATGTGAAAGCACCCCACTCCGCAGTCACCAGTCGCGGTCTCACCGACATGTCGCCATCACAAGCCGAGCCAGGCAGGTTGTCTAGTCGCCAGCACATCCATCATCGAAACATAGGAATAGTGTCAACAGGATGAGAAACTCGAGCCCTCATCAAAGAATGTCTAGCAGCCTAGCTGACACCTCACTTGGGTTTCGGGTTCAGGGCTCATACCTCCGTCAAAGTGTCTCATACATCCGCACGAAGAAGCTGGAAGAGCCACTGACCCACTTGTCATGTCAACAGACGTTTGCAGATTGTCAGAGCAGATGTCATGGGAGCCCCAAACATTAAAGCGACGACAGAAGGGGACTCCGCGACCCCCGGGAAGGGGAACAACGAAGAGCTACTAAGAGGAAGTACTCGTACACTTGTATCATAGCCCGGCGGCCGAGACGGCGAGCTCCGCGATCTCCAGCTTGTTGCAACTGCGGCGCTTCGCAAACCTCTGATACCGCATAGATGATGGATATGAAATACATCTGCCCACTTTTTGTTCGCTTCAGCTGTATCCTAGTTCTGTGTTCCAACTGCACTGCGGCGAGCAGTCGCAACAGGAAACTCTCATGGCACCAAGGAACTCATGCTGAAGATGCTGTTTCAGGCAGCTCGCCACATCTTCAGCGCTCTGGCCTGAACGTAGACATAGATCGAGGTTTCTTTGCTTTTTGCATCGGGCTTTGGGATGTCGCCCTGTCGCCCTTGCATTGCGGCTGGACTTCTGTGCTCCCCTGACACAAGGCCTGGGGTTGTGCGCACCGAAACCACGCAAGAGGCGCGATTCGCGATGTGCCGGCCATGCAAATGCTTTGGACCTGAGGGTTAAGGGTCAGCAGCCTCGACATTTCCAACTTCCATGCGAGAGCGTTCCCCACCTTTTCCGATCTCTGTGATGGAAATCGACGGCTGCAGCCACGTTCTCTTGAGTGCTTCCATGCCTCCGGCAAAAAACATACTTCCCGCATGCACCGAAAAGTGCCTACGAGGGCCCTAAATGTCCGTGCCCCCGTGCAGGCCTGGATTTTGGAAGCTCTGCAGCCATCCAGGTCCAGCTTGGCCATTGGGGAGGCCCAGCCTCTGGCAGATCTTCTCCACGGACATCCTCACTGCGCGGGGCATCGCACAGAGCATCGCGCCACACGTACAGGTGGGATAGTGGGATAGGGGGGGGGGGGGGGGGAGTTTCGAGCACTCAGGGCCGAGAGGCTGCTGTCCGGCTGCCGACAGGTTCACAAGGTCCTCCTCGTTGATGTTGCAGAGGCCTCCAGAAGCTCTCAAGGGCGTACATGTGCATATAGAACTCATGTACAACTCAAAAGACGCGTACAGCGCTTCGTCGCAGAAGGCGCATGACGGCTTAAGTACGTTGCTGCAAATAGGCGTCTGCTTTAGTCGGTACATATTTAGCTATGTTGGCTTTTTGTTAGTGCTGGTTAAGCTGGCTGCGTCCCGGTTTTGGCTCAAGGCTTAGAAATGTCGAAAGCCCTGTCTCCCGCAGATGTTCTCTTCTGCCTCTGGCAAAGGAATATATGCGCGGGGCATGTCGTCGGCTAGCGTGACAACACGTCCGTGAAGTTGTGCATGGACTTTGGTCTTCTTCCTCTCTCAGCTTATTTCTTGCTAGGCGCGGGGCCGAGTTTGTGTGTGTTGGTGTGACTCACGGTACAACATGTACGTATACTAGAAACATCGCAGCCGTTACAAGGTGACACAAGGTGCAAGCCGCGGAGTGTAACGCGCCAGATTCGAAATGTGGGAATGTCGTCTGAGCTGGGCTCCCAGCTCTCTGTAAGCCCAGAGACCGTCGGAGCCCCGGAGGAGTCGGTCAAAGAGGAGATCAGGGCCATGAGGTCAAAGGTCGGCTCCTCAATCAAGATGCCCAAATATGCCCAAGCATGAGTCTTGCAAATGGGCACTTGCAAACGGGCACCCCATAGCACTCCCCCCCCCCATTCCGCCACTTCGCCCCACGAAAGAGAATCAAAGGTGTAGATGTTGCGGATTTCTAGTTTCAGTAAGACTTCGCAGACAATACTTTTAAACCTTTTAAACATTATGCATATAACGTCTAAATCCGACGCCGTATGAAAAGATGCAAACGGGGAGTCCGGATTCCCAATGTTGTCTCCCAGCTTGGATTCTGGGACATATATGTTCACTGTAATTGGTTCGTAAGTAATTGGTTCAACCCTACGCTGCGGTTATGCAGCTCACATCGTCGCTGGTGTTGCTCTATTTTTCACCGCAGTTTTGAACTTGTTTCAATATGTTTCAATCACTCCAACTCCAGCTGCACTCATTCCTCCAAAAGCAGTGTTCCGTCAGCGCCGAGTTGCCGGCAACAGCCCGCCGTTCACGCCGCTATGGAGGTCGCGTTCCCCGCCCTGAATGGCCACCTCCACGTCCAGAACCCCACGCATGCCGTAGCCTGAGATCTCCAGCTGAGTTACAGGGGAAGTCTACGAAGCAGACCCCTTCCCTTCTTGTTGCCTGCAAAAATCCTAAACCATGCGGCCACATGCGCCACCTACCGAGGCTCCGGCACAAGCAAGGCCGTTCCTTGGGAGACTCGCCCTCTGCTGCAGTAGAGAGCGAATGCGGGAATGAGCGATTGCGCTCACTGCTATGATCGGAAGGGTTTCAAGCAACAGCAACGGCCTATAAGAAAACTAGGCGCAATCAAGGC